ATTTAAGAATAAGAATATCTTTATTGATCCCTGAAGGGAAATTCAATAATTATTAAGATTAATTCAATAATTATTGATCAGACTAGATTCACTCAGAGAGCTGGTGGAAGTTAATGGCTCTGTGTTTGCTTGCTCATTTGTAAAGTCAGAAGGTCTGCAAAACAAACCAGGTACATTGTTAGAACTGATCTGTAGAGCCTAATATCCTCACTGTAGGAAAAGCCAACATGCCTGTCTCTCTCGAAGGGACCACCATGGATAAGTAAATGTAGGTCAAACACTGAACAAGCTCAGTCGGGTGAGCTCTGACACAGATATCTAATTTGTACCAACCTATAAATAAAATACTAGAATGAGGCTGTGTAAAAACTGGGCGTCAGACCTCTAAACCGCAAAGAGATTATTTTTCAGATATTCACATGATTATGTTCAGTGACTGAGTTAGCAATGCCGGCTATGTAGCCTCAAACTTTAAAGAGTGTAAGCAGGTGCGTTATATAAAAACTCAGCCCCATACAGGTGTTATGGCTAAAGAAAGGGGCTATAGAGACAAAAACTGTTATTTTGTACACGGCTGCAAGCATGTTTATACCGCTGTACATTGAGGATGATGAACTTTAGAGGGAGCCCAGCTCGTAAAGATAAGGATGTTGATCGTAAGCTAACCTTTGGAGCTAGCGCTCGCATATGTTTACACATGCTTTTATTTTGCTTGATAGATATACACCGTACAGGGGGGCACCTCTCTTTATGACTCATTAATTTTGAAGATATCAAGGTTCAAGTGTTTTGGATGATTAGGGGTGCTGCTTAAGCTTGTTGCATCTTGTTGGGCCAAACTAAAGTTAGGTTGAGTTAGCATTTCAAATTTAGCAACTTTGGCCAAAAGACTTTAAAACTCAGAGACCAGAAGGTGACTTTGCTGGGATTATATCCACGTTTTGAACAGTCAATGATTTTAACATGGGGGCTCTGCAGGGGCCGACTCACTCCTGGGGTCAACTTCTGGTGGACACTCCAGGAACTGCAATTTTTGGGACCTCTGCATGAGTTTTATTATTTAACCCTTTAAGGATGCCACAAGCAGGTGTAACCTCTGCTCTATTTGCACTGCATGGATTATTTTTTACATTAATGGAGATATACTTAGCCATAAATATATAACAGAAGAAAACCAAAGCTAATTTTTCTGGTGTGATTTTATGTAAACTGGACATCTAACAGATTTATTCCAAAGTTTAAAGCTCTTACTCCACATTTGTCTTTGTCCCTCCGTCACACATTCTGGTTTCTTTTCTGCTGTCCTTCAGATATTCATCTTTAAAACAATGCACATTATCCCGAATATTCCGGCATAAAATTAATTTAAGGTCAAACACACCATAACATCAAGTTGGAGTTTTCCTTTTTTATAACTGAATTTTATGTCCTGCAAAAGAGCTGAGGGCACGGGATGAAGGCAGTGGCTGAAGCTATCTCCACAGCCGTAGCCCACAACAACACCAACAAGCACCAGAGAGGCAAAAGGAACATCATCGTTATCAGGGCTGGAGAGAAGCCTCGGTCACAACCCAAAGCCTACTCACCTCTGCGTCAGATTGGAGGCTGAGTGTAGATTTGGGCAAGCAACTTAAGTTCCCAGACCACATTCTATCAACAACACACTTAAAGCCAGACATTGTGCTCCCTCTGTCTCTGCAAGGCAAGTGCTCATGGTACAAGTGACAGTTCGACGGGAGTACCCCATTGAAGAGGGAAACAAGCGTAAGCGGTCTAAGTACCAGGAGCTGGTGGAGCAATGCCAAGGAAGTGGCTTGAAGACACGCTGCGAGCTCATAGAAGTGGGATGTCGAGGCTTTGCTGGCCGCTCACTGTGCAAAGTTTACTCACTGGTTGGCATCACAGGGGCTGCAAAGAGAAAAGCCACAAAGAACATCATGGAGGCCGCAGAGAGAGCCTACACATGGCTTTGGATCAGGAGGAGTAAGCAGTGGTACACAAGCCAGGGCTTACTCAACCCTGGCTGGGTCAGCTGAGGGAGAGTGGGTGATGTTGAGAGACCCGAAACGCCCAGTGATCTCAGGCACATCACTGAGGGTGTGTCCCAGTAGCCTGGCTGGGCCGTCCTGTTGCGTGAATAACTTGCACTTCCTTCCCACAACAACTCCTTCTTCCTTGTGGGAAGGAACTGCAAGTGATTCACGCAACAGGATGGCCCAGCCAGGCTAGTGTCCCAGAGCATCCTAGGATGTGTCTTTTATTCCTGGCATACTTTTTGCCCAATGTTTCTTATTCTGATCATTTTACAACAGTTTGAAAGTCTGTAAATAAAGTCTTGAGATTTTACCTCTTTCTAATTTCTGCCTTTTCTTGATTTTAAAATACAGCCCTGATCCATCCTATACAAATAAATAACAACCAGAAGAAGAAATGGTTTCATTTCATCCACATAGTTAAACATAAGTGGCTATAGAAGGAATTGTTTCATCAAAAAGCCTTTATTTGAAACTACAAGCACACTCTCACACACAATTTTCAAGAGAACTGCCAGATTGTTTTTACATTCATGTATATGTGAGATATTATCTGCTTCATTCTGCCTCTGAGTTTTTCTGATTGCAAGGGTGACAAACATGAAATGCAGATTTCTTCTGCCGAGCTTTATCGAGAGAATCATCCTCCATTAGTCAGCAGCAGAGTATGAAACCCGCCCGAGCTTACATAATCTGAAAGAGAAAACCTTTGGCTTCAGCACCGAGAACACAGCTGCTCTGACACCAAAACGCTCAACGAATGACCAATTTCCCTTCTTCACATTTCTGCTCACCCACATGCAAACTCAGAACTAAACCAGACACAGAAAACAAAAAGAAAGAGCGATCTGACAAACTTTCAAGGTTTTTAGGATATTTCAAACATTTGTGTCAGTCAGATCTCTCACACTTCTCTTTCTGGGTTTAAGCAGTAAGACATGTTGACGTTTCACATTTAAAGGACAACAAAATACAATAAAGACTGAGTATAAATGACAAAATAAAGTGGAAAAGGCTTTTAAAAAACCTCAATATGTTTATACACATGATACATTTTTATATACACATCAGTTTACAGGTTTTTTTGTACAGACAAAGATGGCGTTTTAGAGGCAGAGGTGCTTAGAATAAGTGTGGCATCATGAAACAACACTCAGGTTTCAAGGCTTTGAAACTCACACGCACACACCCATTCATAATCACATTCGAACACACACTGATGTAGATTCAAGCATACGTTTGTAATTCTTATCACCATTTGGAGACACTTTGAAAGTGGACTGTCATTGAAGCAGATTTTCCGGGTTGTACAGATTGCTGTGAAAATTTGGACAAAATTTACAATTTTGCGAAACTTTAATCTCGATTCATGGAGCTTGTGAGATGATGTTTGGAAACATCTTGTCCTGTGATAAATGTTAGGCTTGTAGAATGTATTTCTTCTTTTCCAAATCCCTTGCAAAGGGTATTCTGAGGAACTGCTACATGATTCTTTCTCTCTGTTTATGTTGGTAACCGACTTTACGTTCAAGTAAATATCAATGCAGAAACCAAACACGAAAGCATCTGCAGGAATCCGGGTTGCCTTGCAGTATGGTTGTGCATAAGGCCCTTTTAAAGCAAAAAATTAAAACATTTGGTCACATCAGCGATTATAACATAACATAAACTTGCACCAAATTCTGTTGGTTTGAATGACTTAACCTGTTTATGTGAAAACACTACCGTATGTTTGATACAGAGTTACAACATATAAAGCATTTCACACGTTTCTCCATTGCTTTATTGGCTGCTTCTTTAGATAACTGTTCTCCCATGTTGCCTGAGCAATACAGGATTTTTGAGGCACACGTCCATCTTAAAAGTTGCTTTGAGTATCTGGTTTGAGTCATTTGACGCTATTGTTTTCTCTTGTAATGTCTTGCACTCAGTATGCGATTTAGGCACATTGAAGCATGACGACTTGAACACGCATGGTCTTGTGTTTGTACGTGCACTGTTCACTGCCGTGACTTGAGGTTGGAGATAAATTTCTTTCAGTGAAAATAAACTTTCTTTCCTCATGACAATCATTTTTGTTATGGTACCCTGAACTCTGTTTCTCTAACGAATGAAACCCGAGCTGTAAATAAACAACTGAGTGGGTGAAAACAAACTACAAAATTAAGACTCAGCTTCAGAACAAATCTTTGGCAGTTCTGCTCAATAGTTTCTCACCATTTACTGGAAGAAATGCACAACACTCTAACATTTGCGACAAATCAAACTTGGCCCTGTATTTGCTGATTTTTGTACCTCAACAGCAGAATTCTGATTATGATGTGTTTGTTTAACGGATATGTTTGTATTGTGGGATGATCTTAAACCAATGCAAGTACTACGTGATATTAACGGTTTATGTTGAATTTGTTTTTTTTGCCAATGAAACGATATAAGTCAAATGTTTGAGTGTCCACAGCATCAGTAGTTGAGTGTTAACATGTCCCTTCCCTTTAGCTCACCCACCTGCAAACAGGACGCCCTACATTTGGAGAGCGAGCACTGCTGCAGAGCTGTGTTTACTTTGAATGCTATTTCAAGTCAGAGAAGATGAAGATTAAAGTGATAAAGCGAGAACCAGCCGAACACTTACAGGTATCACACTGATATGATGAGGGGCAAGAAGCCCCAGAAATAAGTTGACCTTACAGGTTTGATAGTGCGCTGGTTTCAGCAGAGTTTTACTAAAGCATTTATAAAAATAAAATAAATATGTACAAAAAAAAAAAAAATGTAATGTCCAGCGGTGAGCGAAGGAAGGGGATGAGGGGATGCAACTCTTCTCCTCTTATCTTAATTGTTTGTGCATCAAAGTTTCATGAGAAAATGTTATAGGGGATTTCTTGGTTTCCAGTTTACTGCAGCTTTAGGTGCAGGTGGATGTAGGTTCCGATTCTGAGTTGGATGGGGCTGGGGGTTGGAAGAGGCTTAGATGACTTTGTAGATCAAGTAGTCTCGAAGCGGCGTGGGGATGGCGAGGGCCTCCACCTGCTGTGTGGGCATCACTCGACGCAGAGCCATCCTGCACATGTGCTGCAGACTGGAGACGCTGCGAGGACTCTCCCAGAAGTGCACGCTGCCGTCACGAGTCCTGAACATAGAGAAGAGAGGAGGAGGAGAAGAAAAAGAGCAAATATGAAATATGATGAGGTGGTCTGACATAGAGATGTGAAACGTGTGTGAGTATGTGTCTTAATGTATCTTACCCTGTAGCAAGGACATTTCCTTCAGCAGAGAAGGCACAGCAGAGGCCATTGGACAGTGAGGCGATGGCCTCAGGAGCTCTCTCCTCCATGCTCCAGAAACGAACCAGCCTGTGAGAAGACAGAGAGAGAGGAAGTGCTGTTAGAGTAGATCAACCTCAAATCTTTTAAAAAGGCAAAATGGAATACAAGCTGTATTTCCTCAGACCTGGTTACAGAAAATTGAATGTTCATCTCTATCCCTTCATTGTACTTTGATTTGCAGTTAGAGTGATTTTAGTTAAATTTTCTCCAATATGAAGTGAACCTCAGTTAGCTTAGAGCAGAAACAGCTGCTTGTCTTTGAGGAGGACATTTTTTACTTCAAGACTGTGAGGACACTAAACTGTCCATGATCTGGTCACTAAACTTTCACTACAGCAAATGAGAAAAATGACTGCTTTTGCTCTGGTAGGCTGTTTCCGCACAAGCATCTGCACTCTCCAAGAATACAGAGAGTATGTTCTTCTGCCTCCTCTGTCTTATTCTTGTTCAGAGCTAAAAACAGCACCGCTCTTTCGCAGCAGTTATAAGAATATACTGTTGGTGGAAAAAATGGGTGCAGAGTCCAACAAGATTTTTTTCTCAAACAGCATTAATTTTTAACTTTTTTCCAGTCTGATACTCTGATGAGGACATTTTGATAACTAAAAACTAAGATTGGGAAAAGACAGGAAAAAATAATCAATTTTCTGTCGAAATCTTTTGTTAAACTCAAGCCACATGAATTTCTCTCTGTTTTTTTTGGCATTCAATGTGTCTTTTCCAACTACACAGACCTCATAATCAGTCCTTATGCTGGATAAAAAAAAGGTCATTTCTGTCTCGCTGTGTTTTCCTGATATGTTTCAGTAGGAGGTCTGCTCTGGTTTGTTTTTCCTCCACAGTTTCCTCCTGCACATTTTTCCACCAATGGTTCAGTATGTGGTCAGCCAGTGGTCGGAGTGATTAATAGCTACCTTGTGACAGTCATGTGATCTCTCCAAGCACACTAATGTAGCCGCTCCATTAGAGCTCATGACTCTCTGCGAGATTTGAAAAACAAACTCCAGCAAACAGAGGAGCTTTTCTGCTGCCGTGTGCACGAACAGGCGTCAGACACAGGGTTTAGCGAACAAACATCCAATCAGAGGCACACAGCTCAACACATGTGGCTATGTACACATCGACACTGCTCAGTTAGGATTTGAACAGTTTGTAATAAACGTTTTCAGACAGTTTGGTCATTTATCTGCTACTCAAACATGCTTGAACTGATGTAACCCCGAGAACCACGAGACACACATAAGATCCCAGAACTGAAAAATCATCATCTGAATTTTCCATGATAATGTGTTTTTTTTTTTTGTGGGCTAACACTAAAGGTCTGCAGAGATCTTGTTTTTCACAAAGCAAATAGGAAGTGAAAAGTGAACTCCGAGAGCTTTCACATTTCCCAGTAAAAACCAACAAAAAAGATTCCTCTGAATAACGGAGGGGAAAACCATTACCGCAAAGTATCCTGTGACTCTACCGTATCATATGACCGGCACCAAACATTGACTTGTCTTTAAATACATTTGAACAGTATATTCTTTTAATGAACATTGGGTGATAAAAGAATTCATTTGGAGTATAAAAGTTATCAACACTCTTTCTGTCCTGGCTTTAAATTAATTGACTTTTATTGAATTTATTTATTGAATATTGAATTAAAAATGAACTTTCAGATGTTCATGGTATAGGGCAGTGGTTTGAGTCCAGTCATCAAGGCCCACTGTTCTGCATGTTTTGGATGTTTTCCTGCTCCAACACACCTGATTCAAATTATTAGCTCGTTATCAAGCTCTGTAATGGCCTAATAACGAGCTGATCATTTGAATCAGGTGTGTTGAAGCAGGAAAACATGCAGGACAGTGGGCCTCAAGGAATGGACTTGAGAACCACTGGTATAGGGGATTTATAGGATGGGGTTGAATTTCCCTCTGGGGATAAATAAATGAATACATAAATAAAGTTATTCTTAAAGTCTCACCTGTCATCAGTGATGCTGGCAATGTGGCGGCCATCAGGGCAGAAGCTCACAGAGCGAACCCAGCGGTCGTTTGCTCCGCCAGCAAAAATGGGCGAAGGAGGAGGAAAGAGATGGCTGCAGAATGAAGAGGGAGTTTAATCAGAGCAAACACACATATGTTAAAGACAAATACTCCCTGTTTGTAGATGAGCTAACTTTCAACACAATTAATGTGGTGTATTAAATGAACTCTTGTCGAACATAAGCTCTTCTGTACATACTTTGGTTACATCAGGAACCACCTGAAGCTGATGTCAGCAGAGATGTTGACAGAAATTTTTGTGCCATCAACATTTTCATCTATGGCTCGTTTTATGCTGTTTAAGCACTAACCATTTCCCGTGACTAACACTTTTTGACCACTGTTTTGCAAAAAGGCCCCCAAAGTCGCTTTAAAGAGCATACTCTATTAGAAAATGAAAATCAAAGTAAGTGAAAACAAGCAAAAGATTTATGCAAAGCTGGGAATAAATTACGAGTAAGGCTTGTGGAGACAACGTTTAGTAAAAGTAAAAAATAAGCTTTTAAGAAAAGCTTGGTTAATCGGGCAGTGAGATAAAAATTTGAGGAAAGACATAAATTAATCTGGTTATTCCACCTGATAAAAAGTTGTTTTAACGCTAATGAGAACACTCAAAAATAGTAAAAGAGCAAATTCTACAATTAAAGCTATTAATAATCCTAAAATAAAAGAGTGTATCAATGCCTGTGTGCAGCGAGCTAGTAGAGCCTTTCAACGACAACTAGAAAAACTGGCACCAAAGCTAGTAAAAACAACTAGCTACTTATAAAGACGGGTAAAGCTAGTGAGCTAGTCAACTCAACTAGCTTAACGTTACCAACGAAGACAAGTCAAGTGAGTTAGTGTTGTATGATGTTGATATAGTTAGTTTTGAAGTCAGGGAATATTTCTTACCCCAGCTCCAGCAGGATGGTGCCCTTGTGGTGGTCCCACACAATGACCCGGGTGTCATAAGAGGCGGTGGCCAACAGCGCCCCATCTGGTGAGAACTCACATGACACCACATCATTGTGGTGGCCCTCGAGCTTCCGGATCAAGGTGTACTTATCCATGTTCCATAAGAGCACCTGCAACGGGAAGAGGAAACTGTTATAGCCCAAGCATTGATTTGATATGGAGTATAAGTGATACATTATACTGAATTATTACTGAATGCACAATTTGAATTTACAACAGGAATTAAAGGTGAATTAAACAGAGTATTGTCAAGCTTTGTAACCTTTAACAAGGCCAAACAAACAAGAGCACATGCTACACAAGCAGCAAGGCTATGTGAAAATGCAACACTTCACCTACATTCACATTTATGTTTAACTCTTTAACATTTTATAAACACATACACTACAACAGTTAAGTTTACATTAAATGTGTTTTAATACACTATAACATAAACTAAGAATATATTTAAACTATTTTAACATGAAGAGGCTACACAAAAAAGAGAAAATAAAACAAGTAGTAACTTAAGGTAACATAATGTTACTCCACTGGTTTCCCCTTTCAGAGTTTTAGTTCAGTGATTACAATAGGCTCGCACCTCCGGCAGAAGCCTACGAAGAGAGACAGATACTGCAAGAGAAAAGAATATTTTATGGCCAAAGGATTGACACCTCTGGCAAAATACACATAACATACACACACATACACACAAAATCATCTGTGGCATCCCTTTGCTACTGACAGTCACACAGGGTTGACTTGTATTTTTCTGCAGGGTAAATATATCACCAGATAGCTATGCAGTTATGTAACTTCTGCACCTAGTTATGGTTTTGAGGTTAGTGTTGAAGAAACTTTAGTTTTTTGTTAACTTTATTTGTGAATAAATGCGTTAAAAATGATCAAATAAATTCAAAACTGTAAAACGCAGATTGATGGTCTGTTTTGAGTTAACTTCCTTCTCTCTGTACTTGCTATTTCCTCATTTAAAAGTTTCACAACTGAAGTCGAAAACAGAAGCAGCATTTTCTAGAGCTGATTTCTAAACTGTGTTTTCATAACACATATGAGACTGGTTGACGTGCGAGTAAAAAAGCACAATTTATTGTTGTTCCACTGATGCTGCCAACAGCAGAAACTTTTAAAAAGCTCTTTGTACAAGCTGTGATGGCCACAGAAGAGTTAATGGAAAGGAACACGTGGCCAGTTATATCACTGTTTGTTGGATTTGTTTTAGGGAGTGGAACATCGCTCTGTATATTCCATGATTTTTCTTCTATCTCAAATCCGCACGACAACTCCATGGCAGAAGTTAGTTGGTGAAAGATTAACGTACAGGTTGACGAAAAAGTGAGGGAAAGCTGGTTGGATGTTAAAACTGTGGCGAAATTATTTCTCATAACTTAATGTTAAGAGGGAAAGGTTGACAGTGAAAGATCCAGTTAACAAAGAGAAGCTTGTGTGTGCAGAAAGGGGGCGGGGCTATTTAAAGATGAGGGGCGGAGATGGGTTTAGGAGAGAGGTGAGGAGGTGAAGGGGGAGATAGGGAGTTCTTAACAACCAGTTTTAAACTGAAATTAAATAAATAGAGGAACTGCGACAGCAGAGGTAGACAGACACGAAGCAGCACCTACGTACAGATTGACCTGGCGGGTCAGGTGCCAGGTGGCCCCTGGCCAGGCCTTTGGACATTGTGCACTGTGCGTCCCCGGTTTACACCGGCTGCTCAAAATGTCAGCGCGGCGCTCCCTTCAAAACCAATCACACACTGAGCTCTGCCACCACCTGTGACAGGGAGAGCAAGACACACTTTGTAGGGACACACACAGCCTAACAGTCTACCACCATGTCCACATTCAGCTACTGCTCACAGTGTAGGTAAAGGTGGGATCTACACCCATGAAGATATGAGAGGTCATACTCTTCACGTTTTCTTGTCTGAATTACAACGTACTTCTTATAGTTACAGGGAAGATATCTTCAAAATAGTTTAAAGCTTTAGTTTTGTCTCCCCCATTGCAGCATACATAGTTTTTCAAAGAATTAGATTTATATGATAAGTAAACAGTTTACTGCACTGCATGCAATCTTCAGAACACCAAAAGCCTTTTACTCCGTAGCAAACAGAAACAAACAAAATCTGAAAGCAGGTAGCTCACTTTATAATAACACCAGGCACATTAGTTTGTTCTAAGGTGCAAATGAAGGGCGGGGCAGATGGGGAGTGTTTTCTCATTTGTAGGTTGATTGAGCATTACTTCTCACAACAAGCAGGTACACACAGAAAAGTAAACAGGAACTTGAATACGTACTGCTTTGCCTGCACCGACCGAGCAGAGGATGGATGAGTCGGGGGAAAAGGCGCTGCAGTACACCCAGTTCTGATGCCCCCGCAGAACTTTTACCATGTTCCCTGCAAGACACAAAAACATATCAGACTGAGGAGGTTATACAGTGGACACAAAACCTACGGAGCAAGTCATGGTGTGAACAGAGCGTGGAAACGCATGAAGAGCAGAGATAGGAATGTAGATCCCTGAGAAGAAGCAAAGCAGTGACTCAGAAAATCTTATTCATTGAGCTGTTATACTACGCCCACGAAATGAGTCGTGAAAAAAAAACTGGTCTTCATACTTTTCTTATGGCTTGACCTATATTTTCCTCTTTCACTCTCTTTAACATTATCAAAAAAAGAGAAGAAAACAATCTTTTTAAAAATGAATTTTATAGTTTCATGTTGAAGACCTAACCCTACAACATGAGGTTGACATGCTTATTTTGGGAGTGATAAAAAAAAAAAAAAAAGAGTGTAATCAGATCCATTCTCAGGATTAAGATGACAGGAGCTCAGACGTAATTTTAGCATATGGTGAGATTAATTAGATCCCAGTAAACCACAAATACACGTGTTGCTGTAATAACAGACTCATCCACAATGTATTAGAGGAATGTAGGTCACACTGCTAATGCCATGCAGGGCCCCCACCTCCCTCCCTGCGCACAAGTCAGAGACCACATGATCTGTATGTGTTTCAGAGGGTGATTGTTTTAAAGAAATACAGCAGTTTGAGGTTCATGGACCAAACAACAGATCAGGGACCCTCATGGCACCTGTTTTTACTCTCCATAAATAAACCCTTTATGTTCAGCCTGGTCAGAGCCCCTGGAGATTTTCCCTACATGTCCAAACAGGTCTAACAGTTCAAAGGGCTGGGCTGGTATTTCTTCTGTCAACAACAGCATCAGATGGAGAAACAATGGGCTCACATGACTGTATTATCACTTCATAAAAGGAAGAAATGAAAGAAAGGAAGAAAGAAAAACAGAAAAAAAGAAAACAAAAGGAATAGATAAACATCTGTATTATTTTGTATTCAAGACTAAAAGAATGCTACTCTAAAAAAAAAAAGGAGGTTGTCCCCATACCATCATCTTTGAGGTCCCACACTCTCAGTGTTTTGTCTCTGGATGCAGACACCAGCATGAGGCTGCCATCTGGAGCAAAGGTCAAGTCTCGAACCACATCAGTGTGGTCCATCAGATTCAGCAACAGTTTTCCTGCAAAGAGCCATTTGATTGTTTATTAACAGTCATTTGGATTAACCACCAACTTATTTGAGTGTATAAAGGGTGTGTCATCCTCACCAGTGTACACATCCCAGATCTTGATGCGACCATTGTTGAGGCCCGTTGCGAGCAGCAGCTGGTCCTGGCCGAACTTGAAGCGGTGCCATTCGATGTTCACGCAGCGGCTTTGCTTCTCTGGCACGGACGAGCCAAATGCCAGCCCCCACACGATGTCACCGCAGTCGATGGTGTGTTCGCGGGGCTCGCCGGCTGATGGGACGATCTGCCCTCCGTTGCTGTTCTGACGGGACAGATGCCGAGGGCTGGATGGATTGGTGCCCTCTTCGCCCTGACCCAGAGAACTACAGGGACAAATACAGAGACAGAAGGAGGTCAGCAAGAGACAGCTCAGGGTTTTTTCCACTGCGGCGCTCAGAGAGGTAACACTGTTTACTCTGAGGATGTGTTGCAGCTGCACACAGAGGGGAGGCTGGTTTCTGCTTCTGTTAGTCCACTATGCAGTATTAAGACCTGGTCTACACAGCAGAATGTGTCTTTACCTGCTGGATTAGTCTGAATTCTTTTTAATCAAAACATTATCACTAGTGAAGCAAATCTACCCCGGCCCATTCAAAACTCTGGCTGTGTTTGCACAGAGGAATCAGTCAGCTGTGATGTTAAGTATCTGTTGGCACTGCAGGAAAACAGCAGCTCAGCAGCCACTGCCTGATGTCTGGGAACAAAAAGCACTTGTTCTACAGACAGTTTCAAAGTGCGGCTCTGGGAGTCACAAGGCCACTCTGAGAGGGAAAAAAGAACCTGTTGAGCAGAAAAGGAGCTGATAATACGGGCCACGTGTCCTCTGCACTGAGCAGAACCTCCTTGTGTTTGTGCTTGGGGTGTGGAAGGAACCTGATGAACGGTAAACTGATGGAAAGATCACGGGTTCCCCAAATGTCAACACTCCTTACGTAACTTGTGTTCTACGAGGTCTGCGCAACTTTTCAAGGTATGGTGTTCAGGAATTAAAATGTTAAGTGTTATCTTATGGTGAGTTTCTAGACTCAAATACTCCCTCACTCACCCCTACTGTCGGTGAAGCGACAGCGGACTTACACATTTGCTGGACCCATCCCCGAATAGATATAAAAGGTTCTTTCCAAGTTCACAAAAACAACATTGTTTGTATTCAAAGGTGACTGAACTGCAATTTAAACAGACTAAATGTCACTAAATTCAACAAACTGTGCCTTTAAGGTAAGTTTTGAATTCATGCAGTGTAACTTTGGATTTAACTCTTTTCAGCAGCTTCACAGCTTCTTTCTTTGAAACTCTTCATAAGACTAACAGAACGCATTATTGGTATAATAATAAGTAACTGTAAATCTAAATTGTATTGCACTTTACATTTTCACAATTTCAAAGTGCTACAGGGTAAGATAAAAACAATTAAAATTAATGCAATTAAATTAAACAATATATCATCCAGCTGCTCGTGCTACACTATATCTAATGCAGTAAATATACACAACCAGAAGCCAGAAGTAAAACTGAGGGGACTCTTTCGAGGGTCTAATTTACTTCACTTCCCCCCATGTAAAAAACAGGTCAGCCACTTACATAACACCCAAGACTTTCTAATTCAGATTCCTGTTAAGTTTGGAGGAAAATTCCTAGTTTACATAACTCAACTGGTTCATCACCAAACTGCAGACAGGCAGGGTCTTGACTCTGTCACAGCAGAAAGTCTGAAAAATTGTCTACAAGCAGCTGTGCAGGCCTGTGAACATATATATTCTGAATTCATGGGATTGCATTGATTGTCCTGTATAGTTGATCTGCAGTAGTTGAGAAAGTAACCTGGGGTTTATCAAGCTGGCAGGACAGAAAGGTTGGAGAGTCGAGAGAGAAAACTAGGTGCCTTGAGAGTTATAGTAATCACATCAGTTCCCATTCAACAAAACTTCTCCAAACTAGGCCACTTTGTCCCCTAAAGACGAACAATAAACAACAGAAGTCTAAGAAAATTATAGACTTACTAATATACAAAAACCCTGAAATAGGTCAAGAGCTATTTAAACACAGAAATATTTCTGACATAGCAGTTAAGCCTGAGGACATTCTACATAAATTGGCATTTTCATCCAGTATTTATAACACTAAGACAGAAGTTGACATTTATTTGTTGATTTTGGAATAGTTTTAAAACGTTCACCGTTTCATTTCCAGAATTTAATTAAGCCACAAATCAAGCATCAGTCTTTGAACAAACCCTCCACACCTCTAATGTTACGGACTTATATAAATGAGAGACGCTGATGCAATGCCAAGTTTCTGCAAGGTGCTTTTCAGTCTGCTGAGTTCTGACAATGGATATACAAGTCCAACAGCTTTTCTTCTTTTTTGTCATTCAAGTTTTTTTCTTTTTATAAAATGAGAGAAATGAATTTGTACATTCAGAATGGTTGGCTTGTTTTGTTTTGTCTGAAGTGTTTTCTCTGGTTGGAGGCTGATACATGATCATTTGAGGGTGATACAGTCAGCTGACCAGAGTTCAGTTCTAAACATGTTGCTGGGGGTCTCATGGTTTCTGAAACCAACACAATGTTGGAGTATAACAAAAATAAGTCTTAAATGGTAATACTTTGAGGTGTTTCTGCTGTGTTTCATAGCCCTGCAAAATAAATATGAGTTTATTTTGCCAGAATACTTACAAGTTCTTCAGGCATTGTGTCCAAGGAATGAGCCTCACAATGCGGTGCCCCAGAGACCAAGCAAAGTAGGAACCATTGGGTGCGAAGGCAACAGTCCAGGCCTCGCGCCCAGATTTCTGGTCAAAGGGAGCAACAGGCACCTGGAGTTCACCAATGAACTTAGCCTTACCTGGAAAAGAAGAAAAATCTGGTTACATCAACCTGACTAATCTATAAGGTTGATCATTAACTTCAAGACAAACACATGCAGACCCAAATCATCGTAAAGGGGCGTCTTTTCTGACGGTCTCTGACGCACTGACCAAGTGGAGGGTCTGGCACTTATGCAGGAGTCTGATTGGCCAATCAAGCAGTGGGTGTAACACCAAATAAAGGCAAAACATTTCTCTGCGATTTGAAACGTGAGGGACTATCATTACAGTAACTTTTATGATGACAACTTTATTTATTCCCCTTCTCACTCCACGGCTGACTTCTCTTTGCACTGGATTCTTGCCTCTGGAGCTCAAATAATCAGAGGAAAAGAATTTCTCCTTGGTGAACAGGAATATCAGCATTATTACAACACAACTTCCTGTGCAATTTAGATGGAATCAAGCCAGTTACTAAATTGCAGAAGGTGTGACCTGGCAGCACGTGAGCTTACATTTATACATACACTATTGGTTCTGGGACTCTTGGCCCTCTACATGCTACACAACTCCTTTTTTGTACAGGACTTGATAGATTCTGTCTTCTATAATTTCCACATTACAGTAAAGTTTGAGGGGAGTCAAGGAGAGAGTTAAAGCATATAAAGCTGAAACTTCCGATTACTTTTCTTGTAAATTAATCAAAACTCTATTTTGTCAGTGACGTTACTGTTTTAGTGGTATATAAAGAGTCAGAAAATGGCTGTATATATCTCTGTATATTTGGCTTTTGTCATATCCCATGGACATTCAGTTAGTTAACTGTCATGAAAAGGAAAAGAAACAAGAATCCACTCCAATTTGAGAAGCTAAAATCAGAGAATTCATGTCCGCTTTAGTAATGGCTCAAATCCATTAAAAGAATTTAACAGGGATTTATTTAGGAGCTGAACTGGTGAAACAAAGGGGGTACCATGCAGCAGCTAAATAAAGTTTAACAACCATAATGTAATTTTATTAAGAGTTTAAGTACATCTGCTATTTGTAAAGATTCCCTATTTTAAAATACAAATAGTTCATGTATACATTAAGCGATTACATAGAGATCTTTTTAATCATATTTATTTCAGCACCTCCCTTTTGCACTTTTTAAGATAAGCTCGTGCAATGCTGAACCTCCAACTTGATATTGATTCACAGTATATAACACTTGGACACCTAAATGGCACTTAAACCCTACTACAAAATATCTGTGAATTAAAGTTCATGTACAGACAGAGGGTAACTATGCACTGTGACGTTCGGCACGTAACTCACGTCTCCTGAATGAAGCAACGCTATGAATCACTGGCTGCAGCTGTGGGGGAGGGAAGAGTCTTCGCTGCAAGACAGCCAAGAAACTCATTTGCTATCTCTATCGTTGAGCGTTTGGAGTAAAATTACAACGAATTAGCATGTTGACCACACTGCACGATAACACCCCAGCTGAAGTTTGACAATTACAGTAGGCATAATAACCAAACAGTGTGCCCTGTGTTGGGGCAGGGCGCACCGTGTCAGACATTCCGCCTCAGACATACAGAACCCAACGCTGGGTGTAATGCTAAACCCAGTGGTATGGTTTGGGTTTCATATACTGCAGGGCACAAAATACAACACCATTACATAACACAAACGTTCAAATCAAGCTTGATATAATAATGTCGAATAGCCTAAATTAGCTAATATGCTGTCACTCCACCTTACGTCCACGAACGCTCAATATAGACCACCACATTGTAATATATTAACGAGATAAACCATTAAAGCTGGTTTACAATATATGTAATGAGTGGTTTTTTATTACATTGGTGTATCTCACAAAGAACCGTTAATTAGAGGTTAACTTTGATCGGACATGAAACGGTTAAGCAAACACGAGCGTCATACTCACATGAGGACCTATCTACCTACATATAATTTTTACATAAAAACGTATACATGTGTTCACTTACCTATATCATTTTCTTGTACAGAGTCTGGGAAGCTTGCCATCTAAATAAAGACACAGACCTGGGAGAAAATAAGCCGAGCACCGTACTGTAAGACGACAAGGAAATGAAGAAATAGTGCGGAATCAAACGCCTGTTTCCTCTTCTGATGACTAACAACTTCAGTCTACTGTATTCCTCCGCCAAGCTCAACGTCCGACTGATGTAAATCTCTTTTCTTTGACTTATTCGGCAAAAGAATAACAGTTCAGTTAAATTCTATATTTTTTTCCGCTAGGCTTCTGCTAAGAGATATCCAACTCGTTTATCTTAGTATTTTACAGTGGCACACAGGATAACGTCGTTCAAATAATGGCTTCAGACCGAATGATACCGAGCTATTTTCTGTTGAAGGAGGTACGTGACCGTCAAACAGGGGGAGGAGCGTTATTAAACGTCATAGGGGTTGTCATGGCGATACTATAAACACCTCCCCCCAGATTTTTTTCTTTTTTTCAACGTTGGAATACTGTTCTTCCGCTTCCTTCTGCAACCAAAACCAGAAAATGGAATTTTACTGCCACCTAGTGGACAAATTAAACGTGCCTTTATTCTTGGGCATTTTCCAGATGCATTCAAGGCAACTAAATCACATTTGATCAAATTAAATTAAAATTATTCATATAAGTAAACAAGACAATAAATTAACTAATATCGGTAAAGATGATTTGATCAGTCTCCATTGTATTAGGTGTCCTCTTCTTATGTTGAAGATTATTTTTTCTCTTTATTTAATCCCCAATGATTATCTGACTGCAGCCACATTATAACATCTTTAAAAACTTTCCTCTGTGCAAGAAAATTACACCTCTAAATATTTTTCAATATTGTGATTTTTGATGTTTTTCTTGTCCCCTTTTTGTCAATATCTTTTAAAAACTAAAAACTACTTTACAAAACTTAAAATAGAATTTTGTTTTGTTTTTATTGAATACATATTGAATAACAACAATATGAAGTTATGTTCTTAATGTTTTGTCTGCAGACACTACTTTATGTTGATATTTTATTTAGGCCAATATTTGAAGAAATACCCAATTGGTGCTACAGAATAACCTCTGTCCAGTAAATAAAATTTTGTTGAAATTTTTAAACTTCAATTTTAACAGTAGCTTTCTGTTGGCAGTTATAATTTTGTAAAATTCAGTAGATATCAAGCCCTGCGATAAACTGGCAACTTGTCCAGGGTGTCCCCTGCCTTTGCCCCAAGACACTGAGATTGGGTCCAGTCCCCTAGCCACCCCCTAATGAGATAAGCGGTAGGAAATGGATGGATTGATGGAAGTAGATATCCCGCCACCGATTCAAAAAAAAGATTGGACCTCTTTATAAAGAACAGTGAAATGAAAATACCTTTTACTGAAGGTAAACAAAAAAGCTTTTATTCAATTAAATAACCTAGACCGTACTTTCAATAAATTTTATGAAACAGCAAGAAGAATTTACACATTTTTCTTGGAATAAAGAGCTGTGGTTGTAGATGATTTGTGAGGAGAATGAGGGCATAGGGGCTCCCTGAAAGGAGAGAGCAATAAAGACTGAGTATCAATGACCCTGAAACACTGATCCTCGGTTAGGGTCATACACTAAAAAGAAAGAACAGATTTCAATTCAGGTAGTCTTGACTCCTGTTGGCAAACTTGTGTCAATGTCACGAGTGTCTTTTGGACATGAATTTTCTTTCTCTATTCATGTCCAATTTTAGTTGTTTGAAGGGAATCTAATCTAATCTTATCTAATCTTATCTAATTGTCTTCTTTATAACTTGATACGCAATACGATTATGCAAAGTTAAATGTTCTTTTAAAAGCAACAAAAGACCAAAGACTTTGAAGATTAACTTCATGTTGACATAAGAGTCAACATGCAGAATTTTTTTAAGAAGTTAAAAAATATTTACACAATGTTCTTTCTCAACCAACACCAGCAAATGGCATCGTACTCCAAATTATTGCAGAATGCTGAAACTTCCCATTGGACTTTAAAAGGACCTGATACTAACATCTAGGTGCCAGATACCACAACCCATTCAGAGGTCTGGTGGAGTCTTATCAGGTGAGGACTGTCTTGGTCCAGAAACAACAAGCCTACACCTATTTCTCAGCAAGGGTCAGAGTATTCTGCTTTTAGCAAACAGGTTCAACTTCACATTTCCACTTTCAAATAACTTGCTTAATAGTTTACCCTGCAGAAGTTACTTTACCTTTTAAAACATTTAAAATTTCTTCTCAAGCTAGTTCAGCTTTTTCTTACCCATCACTTTAAGCGTATTGTCTACATTTCAGAATTTGAATGAGTTAAAAAGGTGTTATAGGTGATACATACTGCTTCTCTACAACTTTTCTCAAACTCAGACTAACCCACTAAGCCAAAAATAACCTTTATTCTAACAATCTGCACTTGCACTGAATCGATTATGTTGGAGATGCAATGACAATGAAACCACTGAAATCAAGGTAGAAAACAGAGAATAAAGAGGATCTGACAAGTTTTTCTGAAGTGATAAAAAACACTTTATTCACAAAGGGAGAAAGTTAACTCATCTAATTTTTCTAAAGCTTAAAATCAGGCAGTTTTTTTCTTGAAACCCTCTCATTGTAAACTTACTTATACCCACAAAGACAGACTTTTTTTGTTCCTCCTCTGTTAACACATTTGTGTTCACACAAGCTACATCAGACTGTTACTACATCTTGACTCCATGCTAGTTTCACATTGACACAAACAAACAGAAAGAGCAGTACAAAAGATGGAAAACCACACTTCGTTTTTTGTACATCATCACTTTCATCTATCCAGATCTAGTATTCATGAGGCAATCGTCCGATCAGAAGCTTCTTTATCCTTGCAGACACACACACATCCATTGTTCATGTTGAACTGTTTACGGCATTAACACTGGTTTTCCGACACGGCATGATGAGCTGAGATATGGCAATGTAGAACGAGTGATATTAATTATTTCCAGAACGTTCTGCACAAATCTAGAAAAGTTTGAGTGCAGGCGTTTGGAGAGCTGGCAGATTATCAGCAGAGAGTGAAGTGAAGCTGCAAAAGAAGCGGCTGATTCAGACCCTAGTTTAACAGGCCAGGTGAGAATAGTACCTATTCTTAATAAAACCACAGGTACAACTGTATCTCTGAAATATAAGCTAAACCAACAGGACATGACCTTCAAAATCCAAGAGTTTATTGATAAAAGGAGGTAGATGTGGACTTCTGGAGGAGATCAATTTGAGGTTTTATGCTGCATGTTTATGTCAAAACATCAACTCTGCCATGTTTCTGTCAGTAATGATTTATTTTAAAATCTTAAAAGTTTTCACAACCCCGATATCTACTTTCACCTGGTGACTGAAGAGATTAAGCAATTCGAAAGAAATCAAAAATAATTCATTTTTAAAAGTTGTATTTAACAGTAATTTAAACCTTAATTCCATTTAGTTTCTGTAATCCAACCCTCTGTGGTGATCAGGATAATCCTGGGGATTTTTGAGAGTGAGATCAAAGTTAACATGATCCTATTTAAAAGTTCTCTGCAACACAAACTGGAGGTTTGATCCTCTTAAAGACCCTGACTGGATTAACCGACCTGATCTGATTTTTGACCCTGTCCTCTTTTGAACAACCTGTCAGCTTCAATTCCATCTTACTACTTTACAACCACGAGGCTCCTATAATACAACAAAAAATCAATCCCATAATTTTCTTTCAAAGGATTGTGATTAATCAGGAAGAATGGACTGCAGTAGAGACAAGTGAACGCTTGTATGTATCTGTTTGTTTACAAGCCTGAGTTTGACACACCCTACAAAAAACCACATTTAAGAGGGTAATTTTGTTTGCCTCTCTCAGTGTTTTCTCCTTTGAAACTAAATCTCTACTCAAACAGATCTGGGATAACCTGAGGGCCTCCTGTAATTACATTTATACATGTTTTTATTTGATTTCAACCTAGCAAGTATCTGCTATGTCTGTTGTTCATAAAGAAAACAGTCTATTTAACAACAGGACTAGCATCACCTCAAATAACTCTTTACGTGAATCTCCCCTGTCTGTAATTTACGGAGAAAAAATTTCTTTTTCTTTCATGGCAATTCTTTAATGGGATTAGTCCTTAGTCTATTGGTACCTCTTTGATTATGGGGCCATATTTTCTATTTTTAGCAAGGGTTTCTTTTTTAATGTACTCAATAACCAGATCCGTTTTAAATGTCATGTTGAAATAACCACTAGGAATTCAAAACTTTATACTGACAAATATAAATTAAAGTTAGAAAGCATATTTTACACAGCCTCAGAACAAGAGCTACTTTCAAGCAGAGATGTTTATCCTTTTTTTTGGGAGACGTCCGACTATTTAAGAAAAATACTAACTCAGCTCATTCTATGTGGAAAAAAAAACATGATTGAATCATATCTGGATCTTATGACACACCCTGGCAATACAATTAACCTTGAAAATCCAGGATTTACTCATTGGGATCAGTTTCCTTTCAGTCTGATGACTGCTCCAGGTCTAAAAACATCTCCGATCTCAGTTTCTATCTGTGCACCTGTGCTACTGAACAATGGCTGTTTCTCACCCGGCCAAACAAACCGGATTTCTGTGGATCATCTGCTCCTTTAAATGTGATCAGCTGGTTATCATGTTTGTGCAGCCACAGCTTTAATGGCCACAGAGTTCGGACACATAAGTCAGTTACACAACCCCTGACGTTCAAAAAGAGCAAAATATTACAATCTGATTATTAATAAGAAAACATGGTATAAAAGCTCTACATGGTTTAGTGTATATAAAGGGGCGTGTGCACTCTGAGCTGCCCGGCCTGAGGGAGCCAATCAGAGGCTCACAGTCTGCTACTGAGAGAGTCACATGACTACACCTGTGCTCCTCTCCGTCTAAAGGAAGCTGTTATAACAAATACTGTCAGGACTAATGCATTTACATTAAAATTATATATATAACAGAGTGTTATCATACAGAGAGTATACATTTACAGTGCTGGGAACAGTCCACATCCTCTCTCAGGGAGAGGGAGGGGAGCCTTACACCGGCCAGTCTGGGTTAAAGGGGGGAGGGGGGGGACCAGGAGGGGACAGGAAGAGCTGCAAGGCCGCCGCCCATGGGTCATGCTGCCGTCGCCATGGTAACCCTGATATGGAGCAGCACCGGAGAATCTGGAATTCAGAGGAGAGACTGAGTGATCAGGAGATGTTTTCTGTTGATCTTTCGGCGGCTTCTGATGTTTGATACACTCAAAAAGAGAGCATTTTATTTTTAGATGCTTAGAGGAAGCTATCAGGATATTTTTGTTCGAATAAGACAGTCTGGTACATTGAAAAAAAAAGTTCTTCTAAACAATAACTTCATAATACAGTGACTCTTTGATAACTGATAAACTGTAGAACAATCACACAATGATTCATCACGATATGTGTTTTATTAAAAGATACATAATGCCTATAAAAGGTCAAATAAAGAACAATGAAAGGTACATCATAAGAGAGTCATCAAGCTTAGCTAAAAGAATGGGCATGGTGGGTATCTTTTTGGGTCTGATAAAAACAACAACAACAACAACCTTTTTTGCATCTCTTGCTTCGTAAGCTGCTAACAACCAAACAGAGCTTCTTCACATCTTCACTATATGCAGGAAGATCGGGTCACAGTTTATCAGTGAGTGCTCCTGAGTATAACACATTACTTTAAATATCCACTATTGTTCTTTTAATGATCCTGTTAATCTCACAATATTCTTCAGGCTGATGTTTTGTATGATTTGTGAGGAAATATTTCAAGTCACTAGTGATGAGACAGGAGGAAGGTGATGTGACTGGGAAGTTACGTGACAATTTGGGGAACAAAGTGTGGAGGTGGGGAGAGCGAAAGTATTACGTACGCTGTATTTTAATAATTTATTAAAGATTTATCGTAGGTTTCAACAGAGAGCCAGCCTAGAAAAAAGACCTTCAGAAATATAAATGGAGAAAAACTGCAGTCACCCAAATTGATACTAGAGGTTGGTTCCTCAAATAAGTCAAACCCCATAAGAAGTAAGCATATTAGATGTAGCCAAAATGATACCCTCCAGTTTTTTGGATCCTTTTTGCAGAACTAATATGAAGGATTGATTCAAAGCTGACCCCCAGGAGCACAGAGGAGGAACTTACCATGATAATGGCTCATTACGTTGTTCATTCTCTTCCTGAGTGTTTACTCTTTTGGGCCGACCATCTTCTTCTGAAAGAAAAAAGAAAAATATTGAAATGCTTGAAACAGAGTGAGCTTTATTTGCATGCGTGAGCCAGAGTTGACTTTTTTGATAGCTGATTTGGCCAGTACCAACTTAGACTTACCAGTATTAGTATAACCATTTACTCATGTATAAGACTGAAGAGTTATGGAGTTGTCTTCTTTATTGTTATGGTGCAAATTTTATATTGGATATTATCTCAGACCAAAAGCCTGCTTATGTGAACTTATGTGGAATAAACAACTTTGGATCATTTCAGACCAGAGCTGCTGAGAAACTTAAAAAACAAACAATCAAACAAACAAACAAACAAACAAACAAACAAACAAAGGTGCATGTGTGAAAGAGGCTCTGTAGATTTGAGAGACAGTCAGGCCTTATTCTTTTGAAAGTCTTCTTTTGTGTGGCAGGAATGAAAACATGAAACTACAAAAGCAGCTGATTCAGTGACTAGCCTTTTGGTTTTCACATCAAATAAGTCCATTGATGAAAAAAGGTTGCATTTTCAGTGGGTGGTTTGAAGCCAACACGTTGCCACAGTCACATAGAGGGATATAAATAAAATTAGGCTGCGACTGCACACAGGAAAGAAAGAAGAACCTAAAATTAGTCTCAATGACGTACACAGCTGATAAAAAAGAGACTAGGCTGTATCATCTCAAAGTTTTTGGCACATCAGACTCAGAAAAGGCAGTTTATATAATGTGTCAACGTTTATGGTTCTGAAATGATGCTTTATATCTTTTCCTGATTCATCCTGCTGCAGAGTTTGTTGTCTTATTGAGCTTTAAGTAGCTGCACTTCTCATTTTATTACTTAAAACTGAACAATTTTGTTGGTCAATTGTTTGAATCTGCTGGCTGATGGAGACAGTGGATAAAAAGTCCTGATTGAGGATTAAGCTGCTCTGTGTGGCCTTCATGACCCAACAAAAGAAAACACCTAACCTTTTAGCAACTCAGTAAATCCCGAGCCAACATGTTGTTCCAGGTGTGGGTGATGCTTGGTACTTACCACAAGGATTTCCCTCCACATCGTCTAGGAGGTTGGCTGTAGAGTTGGTGGTGCCCAGTCTGGGTAGAGGCTCAGTCAAGAAATCAAAGCTCAATCTCACAATCATCGTAAAAAAAAGTCATGCTGCTTTTTTACACCGTTACATGGTAAACATTACTGTGGCTTCTGCAGGTGGCTCTGCATGTCACCAATTACCAAACCATACTGTCTTTGGACTTCTGAGTGAAGCTGGGATACCTAGAGAGAGACCACATATGCATAGGGAGAACATGCAAACTCCTCACAGAAACGCACCTGTTCTTAGCTGGGAATTTCAGCCAGGAGCTTTCTCGCTGTGAGGCCACAGTGCTAACCATTGCAACACTGCCCAACACGACTCTAAGAACTTCAACACAGGATATTCAGTCACATCATCGGACAAATGTGGAGCAAAGGATACGAATGGTGTTTCAAGAGCGTCCTCCTTTTTGACTTTCTCCTTTTTGTCTTCTCTGAGAACGTTCTTGCAATTTCAAACAGCTTCTTTCTTGTAGCTGGGGATCAGAAAACATAAGTACATTAACAACTGTTATAACTCAACAACATCATTTGATAACTCTTGATTATAACTACGCTGTTCATAAGCCTGAGGTCTGTATTTTTTTTATACGTTTTTCGGTCTCATTTGCTACAAAGGACAAAATGTTTTGGAGCAGCTGCAGATTTCTTTAGCATCTCTTCCAGCAGTGAAACAAACAGAAGACTACCTTCACAAGAAAAAACAAGTTTTCAACTGGCCTACCTCTGCCTCTGATAGTTAACTTGTATGTTCTGTTTTGAGTCTTCAGTGTTGTTAACAGTTGATCTGAATACAACCCAATATTGACTAACTTGAAGTAACACAACTAAAGTAGTGGCAATGCAGAAAATCCAGTTTTCTCCTCGGTCATATTGTTGATTTAAAAAATTTACTTTGGTTTCTTCGTAAAGACTGAAACAGCTGCTGTTTCTTGTGAAAAAAAGACAACTTTAAGTGGTTGCACTTTCTTCCTGCAGCCATTACCGTCTGTTTCACTACTGCCAACTGAAGCTAAACTGCTGGAGCAATTCCAAAACTAAATTATGGAGATCAACACATGTAAAAGAAAGGACAGAGGCTTGAAACTAAAGGGGTTCTCCATAAAAGCTGATGCAGGTATTCATAAAATCAATGAGCTTACATTTTCCCATGTGTTTGAGTTTGTCCCTGAACATGGCGTCATCTGAGACGGCGTCCATTGAAGCTGCAGAGTACTGTTCCCCTGCACACAGACACAGCAGCACTAACACAATGCACACTTACAGTATGCACATGAACACAAACACGCCACCTGTACAGGTTTTTATAGTATGATATCTATAGACAAACCCACAGTTATCACAGTGAATGTGTAGACACACACACAGACCAGTATTCAGTAGAGTTCAGAGAGCAAACAGCTGAACAGAGGAAGCTTGATGAGTGATATCTACCTGTGGAACTCTCCATGCTAGATGAATGATTGGACTTTGATTTCTTTGACTCATACTTCAAGCGATCTAAAAACAGAGAGCAGATGTTATGAACACTGATGTGATGAGATCTGGAATTATGGGATCATTATGACCAGTTTAAAGCTTTGAACAGAAGAACGGACATTGTTTACTTCATCAGAGTAAAATTAGAAACCGGTCAAATATTCTGGTTACAAACTTTTCAAGAATTGGAGTTGAGGCAAATACAAATTCATGTCAAGCTTAAACTCTTAGCTGAGACTTCAAAAACAATGAAAGCACGAGAGCCTTGATCGTAAGCTGGGGGATGTTAGACTATGAAAAATGGAGACACATGGAATTAATTTTGTCCAAGTAAAGAGGAGAAATGTACAACCAAGACAAACAAAAGCAATCCAAAACTACCAACACTGCTTCACAGGACAGAGCAAAACGTAAAAAGCTAAATTAGTGTTGAAATAAAGAAAATTTATGAGGCAGAAGTGTCTGAAATCAAGCAAACTGAATCTGCTAAACTTTTGTATGTTTAGTTCTGCTCTTAAGTTGGACATTTTAACACAAGGTTTATGGGAACTGACTCTGTTAGGACTTAGGCTCAAGTGGACACTCAAGGAACTGCCATGTTGTTGTTTTTTTTTTGTACAAGCGGTTTTTGCTTGGTGCACACGTAACACCGTAATTTGAGGAAATCATTTGATCAGGAAAGTTGACTCAAAATCTAGAATTTGCTTGTTACATTTTAGCTCTAATTTCAACTTGTGTCTGTAGCTGTGGGTTGCTGATTGCACTGGATGGTTCATGAATAACACATTATAGTTTCACTACTTGGACAAAATTAATTCCAGAGACGAGCATAGGACTTGAGTATCAAGGCAAATTATGGCATTAACTGAACAAAAAAAATCTATTATTTTCAAAAAGGTAGCCTGGGGAGTTTTGGTTTTCCCACCAAAATACATTGTGTGTATCTCACACCAGGAACATATTTTAAACAGTTTCCAGCTTGAGAAATTAATCTGGAAAAACTCCACAGAAAACCTTTCACATGTCAAAATCTTAACAGCAACAATTCAATGTTTGAATGTTTTCGAAATCTACGCATTACTGAATACAAAACTTGTAACAACACTTAGGGCATTAACCCAATGAGCAGATATTCTCCTAATATAATTGGTCAAATTCCTGTAGTCGTACCTCTTTCTAAGGCGATGAGGAACTCGCGGTTGCGCTGCAGCTCCCTCATAAACTCCTCGTTCTGTAGAAACAGGGCGATCCTTTCATCTTCCAGGTACTGCTTCAGTTTCTTGTCTTGTTCTGTGGCTCCTGAGTTCAGACCTGGACCTCCTGTGGTGCCTGCAGCTCCAGACAGAGAACCAGACCCAGCTGTCCATTGGCTTGCTGAAGAAACTGAGGAGGAGGAGGAGGATGAAGGCTGAGAGAGACTGCTCTGGGAGCTCTGAGGAGGAAAAGGCAGGAGAGGACAAACGTTTTAATGTCCACTGCTCTGTTTGCAGGATGGTTAAGAACTCAAGAAACCACCAGATTCAAATCAGAACTAGATTCTTCCTCCAGATGTCTGGATCAATGAGTTGTATTCTCTGGTCCGTTCAACTGTTAGTCTCAGTTTTAGTGTAATTAGTAAATTACGCAGAGAAGTATGAACCTGACAAAGTAATCTTATTATTTTACCTTAATACTGTCTAGCTGCTGTGGCAGGATTCGCAGAAAATCATCAGGGAGGTTCCCGAGCAAAGGAGGGTTCCAGTTTCGGTAACTTCTGACCTGCTGGTGACCTGGAGGTGGTTCGGCTTCAAATCTGTGAGAGGTCACGGAGATACAAGAATGATTACTAATTCAATCACCTGCATTATGTACATTATAAACTCATATCCAGCTATCTTTAATGACTATTAAATATTTACTGGTACAACTTTTTAGTAACCAACTAAGGGCTTGAGTCGGGAGGTCTCTACTCACAAACCTTTTTTCATAACCAGACACAGAGTGCTTAGAGGTGAATGAGCCACTTGCACAGTTTGTGACAGATTCATGCTATGAAAATACCAATATATATTGGTATTCCTACACTTACATGTGGGGCCAGAACAGTTATAGAAAAAGGGAAATGGGTAGTTTCAGTTTCCACCAAACAACCAAAAAAGTATGTGCATGACACATTTCAAGTCATGATTGAAATTGCATGTAATGTGTATGTGATTATTGCACATGCACACATCTCAAATTGCTAATTTGTGTATCATGTGGCCAATATGGGGACATTCAAGTGGAATAACTACAGTTTGGGTGTCGAAACTTAAATCAGGTGAATCAAAGATTTGCATATTTTGTTAAATAAGACAACAACAAAAAAGTGTGTTCGAAATATCTGGAAAATGCCATAGTTGCATAATCAGGGATTGTGGTTCCACTGTGCAAAAGGTCCAGTTCCTCTTCATTACCTTGGCGGGGGTGTGGGCGGGGCATCCGGGTACTTCCTGTCATAGATGTGCATGTCATACGTCGGTGGGGAGTAGACCGGTGGTGGTTCCTCGTCTGAACTGTCCGGTTCCAATGTTCGATCCAAAATCTAGCAACAGTTAAAAAAGACAAGCTTTGTCACATTGCACAATATTTTTATGCCTCATGACTTCATTCCAGTTAGTTACCAGCAGACAGACAGGACTTTGTATTTTGGCCACCTTTCATCTCTTATTTATTTTGGTCTCAAGCCGACATGTTTCAGTTCTGAAGTGCACTGTTCAGGGGTGTGATCTTTCCTGTCATTGAGTCTAGATGTTTGGACAACAGTTCATTACAAGTACAGAGCCTGTGCTTTTACTGTACAGTCCACAGCACTGAGATTACAAAGTGAATGTGCACATACTGTAATACCTCGTTTTCTGTCTGTGTCCCCATTCCAGTTTGATGGTCAGGTTAAGATTAAATGCAGTCTTTAAAGGATGCTGGAGGCATGTTAGCTTGGTGTGTGGAAGCCATGCCCACCAGCAGCTCAAGTGTCAATCTTTTCCTACAGTTCAGCCTGAGAGATAAATGATGGACCAGTTGACGGCAGACTGATTCACAGTTGACTGTGAGGAGTGGAGAAACAATCCAAGTTTCTTTTTCCACTGTTCCACCATTAGAATACACACAATAATTACATCACCACTAAATCCTCATAAAATCAGAGTCTTCTGCTTTATTACTTTGGGCCCTTCCTTGGAAGACTTGCTATCAGAGCATAAAGTTCAATAAAACATTGTTTTCAGAACATTAACAGCGTACTTCGTTCGTCCATACACTAACAACTTTACCACAGAAAAATAAACATGTCCGATTCAATGCCAATGTGTTTTGACCCGTTTACTTCAGAGTCACATTGCCACAGTGTCCTCAGGAAAAAGGTCAATCAATACTTTGTGCTCTGAGCATAAATAAACAAGACTCATGCTAAATCCTACCAAGAGCGTTAAAACAACCACACGCTCAGGCAAACTTCAGTGCTGCATCGTAGAACTTTGACCAGCCACAGGTTTTCTATTGGCTTCTTGTGGCACGTGGCTTACTAAAGCAACATGAACCTGTCAGGGCATGGGTGTGAGTGATATCTGTAATGCAAGTGTGGCCTTGTTGAAGAAGGGCAATTTGAAAAGGTATTTTACGGTGATACTCATACATTTAGGACAGCAAAGTTATCAAAGGCATGTCTGTGGAGTACCAGTGTTCCAGTACAAGAGGTCCTTCTTTTGTAGAGACGTATATTTACTTTTTTTTTTTTTTATAATTTCAAAAATTCTCTGCAAGCCTCTATCTGGTTTATTCCTCTGTTTGCTGCATTTATAGGTAAGCTAGGGAGCTCAAAATGGGCGGCACCCCTAACCTAGATGAACAGGCCGAATACCATAGTACAAGCTGTAATTGGTAATAGGATTCTAATCTGTGTAAAGCTGCAGCTTCATCTTTATTGCTGTAATTGTTGATCTGTAACATCAAACTGTACACTCTGGCAAAGATAATTTGGCTGAAGCAGGAGCAGTAACTCAAGAATGAGACACAGTTGCCAATACAAACTCTACTTCTGATATTGTTACATTTCAAGATGTGGGATTACACTAAAGAGGCTTCACTGCATCATGAAGCTTCCTTTTCAACCCCACCCAAAAACCTCCAACCTTCAAAAATGTATTAGTTTTGAAGCAAATCTCAAAATTTCCTTTACACTGACTCTGGATTCAAAATCTATCAGGTTTAGTCGATGTGAGCCTTATTAATGTTTAATGTTTAAATTGCAGCTAATTTATTATTTATAGATACTTCAAACACTCAGATTTCCAAGGGAGTGATTTTGAGGTAGCTCTCCCTGTAAACAACCATTTTACTGTTTATCAAATAAACATAAACATGACATAAATATAGTTTTTGCCCCCCACCCCATTTTCATCTATTTCACCTTTTTTCTTCTCCATTTGTCCAAGACATTAACACACCCAACCATCATCTTTTAACCTATCTCCATGACATTTTAATGACAAAAGTGACATGTTGAAATGTTACCTTTGACTGGTGGAAACTAAACCATCACTAACCATCTCTTCTGATTAAATATTTAAAAGGTTTCTGGGCAAGGCCATCAGCTCCTGTCGATTAATGATTTCATCAGTGTGTCTGGTTTTCTTGTCAAGGAAAAAAAAGCTGTGACTCATCAGAGCCAAACAAAGCCTTAAAAAGAAAGTCTGACAAATCTATAAATAACACCAGCATCCAGACTGCACAGAAATCTTTTTATAGTTTGACAGTAACTTTGTGTTGCTGATAACTTTCCTGCTTAGTCAAGCAACAGTAACAGTAAGGGGAAAAAACTTAAAATAACAATATTTCTTCACAAAAAAAGAGTTTTAAGAGAATAATTACAAGGATTTGTTTGAGTGCAGTGTCCATAAGTGATTTTTGTTTAAACTTTTATCAGTAAAACATATAAAAGGTAATTTGTCACAACAACAGAGACTCTAAATCTGTTCATCACCATCTTACATATTTGATCCCCCTCTACTCTAAATATTTTATAATTCATTTTAGGATTTAAGAACAAGAAAATCTGACATTTTTGAAAGCCTAATGGAAAAGAAAATTTCTCCCACTTTAGCCACACATCATTATCAAGAGATTGCGGTACCATTAACTAAGTAAAAGCTTTATGGATTATTTAATTTAGGCTACAGATAGTCTGAAACACTGTTTACTGTTCATTATATTCTGAGATGTTATATCTTTGAAATGTGTGTTTACATTGGAATATATAGAAGGACATTTGAACAAAATAAATAAATATTTTTTAACTATTAAAAATATACTTTAAAAGGATCATAGAGATGCTGTTTTTGCACCTTTTTCTGTTCCTCTCTTATCTCACAGGAAATCCCTGTAACTTAAGTGCAGGGTGTATGTCTCCAGCTCATCAGACCTGCACAACATCCCTCCCCTGTGGTTTTTTGTGCCCTTTGACCCCCCTCTGACCTCTGCTGGGATGCTGTCATCTGAGTCGGAGCTGTCATCAGAGCCCTGTCCGTCGATGCTCATCTGCAGTAGCTGGTCGATAGTGGCGTCCACAGCTCCGTTGTTGGAGCGGAGCACACACTCGATCACCTCGTAGTCCATAGAAGGGAACATGGTCTTGAAGTCCTCCATGGCCTGGTTGAACTCCAGGCGTCGGACCTGCCGGTTGGGCCTGCTGTTGTTGAGCTGACCCTGCCCCCCGCCGCCCCCACCTCCACTGCTCCTTGAGCCGCCATTGCTGCTGCTGCGCCTGAACAGGCTGGTCATTCTCGGGGCCTCCTGATTGGACAGCTCTTCTTCTTTGTCACCAACACACGCACTGTGGCCCCGTCGCTCTCTCTTCTGTTCACCGTGTCCTGCTCAGTTTCTCATTCTAACTCCAACATGGCAGACTGTGGATGGAGCTCAGAACAACCGGAGACCCACCCTCCTAAGCTACGCGTTATTCAGATTCACCCAACATGGCTGTCCAGGTTTCAGGGTGTGTGAGGGTTGAACAGTTTAGTGGTGACAGAAATTAAAGGCTAAAGGTTCTGTCGCCAGGTAGAAGTTGGAGTCCACCAGGGAACGTTCATGGCTACAGTCTACAGCACCTGCAAAAAAAAAAAAAAACAGTGTTAGAAATCAATTTACATGGATATCTGAAAAGCAGGCATGCGCACCAAGAAAATCTACAATGTGCAGTGATACTCCACTCACTCTGTTGTTCTTTGAGGTTAATGTCCACATGCCTGTGCTGGTTACACATTACTGCACGTTGGTGGTTTTATATGCCAATTTAATACAGACTTAATAAACCTTTATCATAATTATCAGATCAAAACGCTGACAAAGTGAATCATGCTCATCACGCTCCGTCTGTGATTTGTGCACGTTTACTGCCAGGTTACACCCAGGAGCTTTTATACATTACAGCAGTAGCTAATAACTGCGTTTATGATGTTGTGAATTGAGCTCACTTAATCCTCTCAATATATTGAATACATAACTCAATTTTACAGGCCTAACTGTTGCCTGTATCACATAAAAAGTATAATTATCTTCCAGTTAACTGCTTTTTCCGCAGTAATTGCGCTGCAACCAAAGCTTATTTTCATGATGATGAACATGCTGGGGCAAGAAACAAAATTGCACCTCATAAGGCCCACGCCTCAACCACTAGATCAACAAACAAAATGATTTTATATTCAGGTTTTCCAACTCAAATCGAAACACTTGCAGACTACATATTCCTTTTTTATCATATTCATGTATCATGCTAATCCAGATGCTACTAAATGCTAAAAACTGAACCTTTAAAAGGCTGAAAACTGTTTTTTTCTTCCGGTGTTTAATTAATGTTTAGTACAAAAACAATAAATCAACATCAAGAAGAGTGTCTAATATTATTCAAAAGCCTCTGTTTATAGAGCTCCTAAATGTTGAATGCTAGTACCAAAACTAGATGGTAATGAAGCACAAGGAAATTGTACTGATTTTGATGCTTTAAGATCACTTGTTCCTGGTCATTTTTGAAAGGTAGGAATTGCTGCTTCACCCTTTTTTAGTGCAATTTATCTGTTTGTTCCCAAAACCGTCAAGTAAAGCTGCACATTTGTTTATCAAAGAAAGTAAATATTGATATATTAAAGTATTTATGAACAGGTTACTCTGCAACAAACCAACAAGCTCATCGGTGATGCATCTTATATCCTGCACATATAAACTGCTGCCCTGTGGTAAGGGGTTCAGAGTTCCTGTTGAGACTAGACAGTTTTACACATTCATTTAATAGCACCATATTGTGCATTACACACCATCAGGGTCATTATAATGTGAATTGTACTGTTTCATGTGGTGCGCCTTATGTTGTATGTTGTTGTTGATGACTGTGGGATGAGTGAATAGCCCGAGACAAATTTGCCACTCGAAGGACTGTAAAGTGAAACCTTATTTCCAACATATAAGTATAATGATAAAAAATCATTAATCTGTTTGCTAAGCAAAGCTTCAAACACTTTTTCAGCATATGGATTTCCTTTTTTAGTGAACGATAAGTATTTGTTAGCTGAACATGAAACTAACCTGAAGATGTTATTTTGGGATCAGGTAAATAGTTACAAGTCATTTACAAATCTTTCTTTCAATTTACTAACCCAACAATTTAGCATTTAAGACTAAAAACAGTCACATGATATGATGACAAATATACTTTTTTGCAGCCATTCTGTTAAACAGGAGGTATGAAGCACGTGATTCTTAGTTTAGGTTTAGGATCTCAGGGAATAGTTGAAGCAGTGTGTAAAAAAGACTGTTACTTCTCCATACATATGGTGGACTGAATTATGGAGCTGCAGACATGCAGAGGCCAGCTGTAGCTGTTCTTAATTAATTCCTGCCGCTCTCTTCCTTCCTGCTTCACTGGAGGGGGGAGGGAAAGGTGGGATGGGGGTGGGGGTGGGGGGGTTGATTGTAGCTGGCAGCTGCCCAGTGCCACATGGCAGTGCCAGGCCCCATCCACAGCCTATAAACAGATCCTCTCTCTCATCAAGAGTCTGCCTCTGATGTAAACAAGATATCTGCACTGATTGTCTCAGCCTTGTGTCACACTGGCGCTGGGTTTGTGTGAGTGTGTGTGCGCACAAGGAAAGAACATGACACACTGAATGGGAAAGATATTAACAATCTCAGAACAATACTGTTTGCTAACACCCACACAAGAATGTATGACCGGATTTATCCTATGTGATGACTCTTTATTTCCACCAGATAGGGATGCACCAATACACTCAACTCTTGATACAATATTTTATAGGGTATAAGTAACCCTGTTGTTTTATGGAATTGCACCGAGGCTGTAAGTGTGTATATTTTTGCTGTAAAGTTAAGTCCATAGGATTTGGCTTACTTCCTGAGATGGCCTCGAGTGGACACTCCGGGAACTGCAGCTTTATAACATTTAACCATTGACCCAATTTCACAACCTTGTAAGCTACTGGGCAGAATGCACTCTTGGGTGTCTAAAAAAAAAAAGGTAGCAAAACCCATTTTTTAATCACAGAGATTTGAACTGTCAATTAAGCACACAGACTTTAAACTGTCTCCAGAAATATTAATGCATTCCCCTCTATCACTTTTGTAATTTCTAACATTTTTGCCATAAACTACAAGTGAAAATGCAATGTAATAAACCTTTAATGTCAGTATGTACTTTTTCACTTTAACTTTTAACTTTTAACAAAAACTTTTGATACCAATTCATTGTAAACAGACAAACAAACAAACAAACAAACAAACACTAAATATGAGATGTTTTAGCCTGGTTCTGTCACAGGATCTTAGATACAAAGATATAAAGATATCTTCAAAACAACATCATATTAAACCTGCACCTGACTAACAACCAGACTATATTTAGCACACAATCCAGGACTCTCAGTCCTCAGAGAGCGTGTGTCTGTATCAGTGTACAGGAAGTGGCTGATTACTCTTTGACGACAAGAAAGAATAAGACGCTTTGTCTGTTGTTTCAATGGCTGCGCTGGTGTTGAACCAGTCAACACAAGGACGGGTGAAAGATGATCTGATTCATTTATATCTAACCGCATAAAAATTAGGTGTCTGAATTGTTTCGCTGCATGACCTTTTAACACAGAATTTTTAATTATTTTTGTTCTTTTTGTACTTAGCAAAAAATTTTCTTGCGTATTTCATGTGGCCTCACCTGTTGCACAATACATGCTCATATAAGCAGAGAAACCATTGCACTGCACAATAAAAAGGGAAATTGGGCCTGAAAAAAAATATACAGTATCTGCATAGAGGGAAAATATCTATATCACACTATTGATATGGGGTTACGTTGCACTTGACAATGGGTGTGAGTTTGTTGTTTTTAACATTTTGATTAGAATATGCTGATTATGTGTATGTGCTGTACTCAAGATTGAAAGCAGCAGTTGGCTCTTTTTTAGCTTTTTACATTTTTATCTGTGTTTGCAGTCTGTCAGTCTGGCCTTCCACACAGAAGCACTAACCCTCACATGTACAGATGAGAGCAGCTGGATTCAGACAGACCAATGCAGAGTGATCCTGCAGCTGCCCACCATAGAAATTAAAGAGGGGATCATAACCTGCTGCAGGAGAGCCAGATGTTCCAGCTCTTTGCACAATAATGGCTCAAACAGAAGGCTTAATAAACAGGACTTAGAATATATTAGAACTGGTACTGTTAGGATTAGATTTTTAGAAATACATCTATGCAATTTAATTGCAAGTTGTCCACTTCTGTCATTAACACCATACTGTTTAATACTCAGAAGTTCAGGTTTACAAGACTCTAAACACACAACAGCAAACATATCAATTTGACTATCACATAAACTAATGCTTATATCCTAAAAATGGCCAGTGCAACTCACACAACATATAGTATCATATTGCACACCAAACCTGACTAAATGTTATTATGTTAAATGGGAAAGACCAAACATTTTAATGCAGAACTTTTAGCCTACTTAAACCCTAAAGACAGTTCAGGATCACATCACAATAATGGCTGATTTACTGGCTATAGTAGTCAGGCTGAGAGCTGAGATAATCTCAAATACAACCTTACTGGTTACATTTGCAAGAACATGGCCATGTAACGACTGATTAATAGCTCCTTTATGCTTAGCTTGTGGATGGTGGCTCAAACTCTAAATATTTTGGTGATAACTTAATTCCCTTTGACAGAATGTGCATATTACCTTTGACTCATCAACTGAGTCACCTGTGAGCTTTTTAGTGAAATATGCACTTGAAAAGAAACATCCCTGTGTTATTTTCCACGATGGTGGTAGAAGACAGCAGGAAGACCCCGAGGCAACTTTTCTTTGGGGAGCAGAAAGAGACACAATGGAAAGCAATAAGAAGAAATAACATGTAAATTTCAGGACTCAGTGTCTTGTGATTAATGCAATATCGCTGACAGTCCTACTTTGCTATAACTCCAGGGATACTTAACAACCACACTTACATGAAAAACATGCACACTTTTTCCTATGATAATTCCATATAGAAAGATGACAATTGATTTAAAATATAATATGTGGTACTGATGTGACACTGATAGTGGACTCCCACCTTTGTATGGAGACAAGTGGCACACTCCATCATCCATGGCACATATGATGGCACCCACAAGTTAGATTTAATAGATAGATTTATTAATAAAGTACTTTAACTAATTTAGATTAAAAGAATTCTCTCCAAAAATCTATTCACTACACAGGTATACTGTATATTATACAATAATATATGAGACCATCATGATATTTTTAAGAGTGTGTTGCATTCAAATCTTTTTTTTTTCCACAAGACTTATTTCTTTTTCCTGGCAGTATGTCACATGCACATTTAACAGCTATGGCTATAGCTTCATTAGGCAATTAATTGGATTCCTGTCCTTATCCCAGATCACGAACATTGAGCAAGAATTCATTTACTGACAGATGTTTGTATTTGTAAGTAAGGAGTAAACAGGTCACAATGGAAACTTTACAACTCTAATCTGCATGTTTTTGTTTTATTACCTACCCCTGAAACATATTTATGTTACTCAACTTCTTGGTCAAAGGCCAACATGCAACCCAAATGGTCTGACCAGTACACTTGCTTAAAAAAGTAATTCCCATCTGTTAAGGCTATCACGCTTGGCAAAGGCTATTCACAAGCCCAGAACATAGAACAAATATTTTTCTATAGCTCTGCAAAATACATGTATTAGCAATAGCATTGGACAAAAACACAGCCAATCAGCCAATTTATCTAATTTAGACAAGAGGAGCTAATGGCGATACGACCAACCATATACTATGGACAACTTGGTTCCGCCTTGCGCCAGTAAATGGATTTGAAGCCAAAAAGCTCTCGGTACTTCTGTGTTTTCTCTCCATTTCCTTAAACTAACTTTACGCAGTAACGTTGTACGCACTCCACCACTAGCGCAGTGGCATTGTGCGCATTCGGCGGGAGAGTCGCCGAGAGTCGCTGTGATAATGCTCGGCTCAAACAGTGTATCTCCCGGGTGAGCTACGCAATCTTCGTACGCCCATAGGCTGTATCAGTGTCAATCATAGAAAACATGAACCCCCGAATTAAAAATGGAGCTTTACTGAAAAAAGAGGACTTGAGCACAAACCAGTCTTACAGTAACTACATTTCTGAACTATACCGCAGCCCGTCACCAGGGGGTGCTGTTCTCAGAGTGGCTTCACCCAGCGAGGAGGCAGACAGCGTCCATTCTATATACAATCTATGCATCCAACTCATTGTGACTTCATTCCCAGAGGCGGACGACCTCAGAGATGGTGAAACAAACCAACAGAGCTTATTTGAACAGAAATCCTAGGTCTGACAAGTTCAATAGTCAATAACTGTTAAGATTTTGGATTGGCATCTGGGGTGGCCAACAAGATTAAGAATGAGCCCTGGCCACCCCAAGTGGGACATGGACAAACAGGGTACGCCCCTGTGAGGTGCATGTGCTAGAATCAGGTCGCGGCTAGCTGGCTAACGGTTCTCCTCAGCAGCTGCTGGCCCATTCTGAATTGTCAAACATCACAGAAAATATCACGACTATCGACACGAATAGTTAATTTAGAAATGAAGAAACGGGGAATTTATAACACATTATAACATACGGACACTTGAGCAACCTATGGTTTACAAAGGGACACATCAGTTAGCTGTAAAAGCTAACTAATCAGTGCCAGGCACGTACAGTCAGATTTACAGGCCGCGGTCAGAGACTCTCTGCATCCAAACACGATCATAAACTCCCCACAGCTCCGTGTACGCATAATAATTAGACTGGAAACACTAAAGTTGGGATTGCCAGATATTTTCGACGTGATATCGGCACACTGATACAGAGTGACACTTTTCTCATGTCCGTGTTGGTGTTTACAAACAACAGAGGTAATAACACAGGCTGAATATTCCACACTGCAGCAGATAAATGTGCTTTTTTTATTTCAAAGCAGATAAAAGCCACACGTTACTCACCGACAGAGAAGAACAAAAAACATCCACACTGAGCTGAAGAGTCGATGTGAAGAGAGGATTAGCGGCAGAGAGCAGTCTTTTATCATTCTAATGTGAAACAGAAGGAGACTGTCCGAGCCTGCACTCAGCAGCAGACTGTCTGCCGTAAAACACAGCTGGAAACTGGAAACTGGAGCACGGAGCAAACCCCAAACTTCAAAATAAAAGACCCTTTCAAAATGATATTCTAAGAACAAAAGAGGGAGTCACAATGCAAATATGTAGTCATATGAATTTATGAAAAACGTACATTTATCTTATATATCAGTCACATTTGGATCAGAAGAAGAACTGTGTTTCAGAAACAGAACAATCTTTCTGGTGTTTTAAGGTAAACGATCATAGTGGCAGTTCTCTTGTCAGTATTGGACCATGGTAAAATTCCTGTTTAGTAGGCATGCACCCTCTGTAACACTCCAACACCTTGACTTTCTTTATCACTCTGTGTTAAGATTCGCTCAACACTAAGGGTGTAAATAGAGTTGTCTCTGAACAGCTGATTTATTTATGTAGCAGATTTACATCCTCAAGCTATTTATGTCTCACAACAGTTATATTATAATGTTATTACACAGAGCAACTTTCTCTTTAAGTAACTTTAATGTACATTTCTATAATCTCTGTACATTAATGCTGTCTCAATTTCACACTCCCTTAATAATATCTTGCACATCCCTGTAGAAAATAGAGATTTTTTATCACTCTGATGTTGCATATTTTCCATCACTAAAGCTTTTGTAATTCATTTTATTTTATGGGAGGACTCTTCAATGTGGGAGTACTGCTTGGCTGCATATTTTGTATCCCTTTCTGTATTTTGTTGCACCACAACATCAAGTAATTTAAAAGTTTTATGGATATGAGTTTGATGACTAATACTTACAAATCAACACTTTTTAAATTTTATAATTGTCTTATTCTTCTTGAAAATTCTTGAAGTAGGGTTTTCATAAAAATCAAGAATTTAACAAGAAATTTTACACTTGTCCAAAATGATCTTTGTGTTCATTTTTAACCCTATTCATGTTTTATTTTGAAGGTCAGGTTTGTGACTTCCTGCGCTGTGCTGCTTTACAGGCCTTTAAACAGCAGATGAATGAACAGCAGACAGGAACAACACAGCTTTGAAATTCATGGAAACTTGGAAAAAGTGAGGTGGATTTCAGTGAGAGGCTCCCTCTACTGCCCACAACTCTCTTTATTATGAAACCACTTTTCCATCTATTCAAATTTAGACTTCGAGGAAGTACCACAATCCTATCAGGGTGGGAAAAATATGTGGGGCAAAACATAAAGCCCACTAATCCTGTGACTGTAGAGATACTGATTAATTCTTAGTTTCAAGAGGTACATGAACGTAGATCTGGGAAAATCCTCCCAAACAGTCTGATTGTTTAATTACTTTTTGCTGTATTTGCAACATCAGAATGTTCAACACTTGAAAAAGAAAATTATTATCTATTGCACGAGATAAACTGCACGAGAAAATAATAGTTTCAGCTTCCCTACAGTGTATTATTCAGAATGTGGTCTATTATAGAGCTGGATTAGAGATCTTGTAAACATAATGGGATTGACTGATTAAATTAAGTTTTGAAACCAAGTTAAAAGCTTCCCACACACTCAGAAACTGAGTTTGCTGTTAATTTAGTGTCTCTCTTCGCTGCAGGACTGAAAAATTCAGAAGATCTTTTGTATCCACAGCCATCAGACTTTTTAACTTTTGTGTAAATAGATAACTTTTAGAGACATATCAAGTGAGACAACAGACAATTGAATTTCCCTTCGGGGATTAATAATGTTCTTATTATTCATATTTTTCACTGCCTGTCATAAAATTAGGGAATCCCCATCTTTCTCTGGACCAAAGTTAATGTAATTTTGTTAAATCTGTTGGCTGAGATCTAAGTGTTTTCACCAGATAACTTATGATGCAAACTAATGGATGACAACAAATTTGGATGACAAATCAAATCAATTTCAGCCAACAGTAAATGATGCAACAAATGTGTCTGTGATCTAAAAACATTTATAGAAAAATCTGTCATTTAACACATTTTGTTGAACCTGTTAGATCTCTGTGTCATTGTCAGAGGTGTCTTATGAGAACTCAGAACCTGATTGTGAGGAACTAAAACACAAAAAGTAGAATTGAAACTAAATTCCAAGGAATGCAAAACTCAACTCAAGTGAACATCACACAAAATACAAAGTAACCAAAGCTGAATGCAGGAGACCGTAAATTTGTCATTGCACAGGCACAGAACTTCATGTACGTAATGTGAAACTCAATGCATGGGAACCAAAACCAAATCCAAGTCCAAAGGGGTTATGAAATCCAAGACACTAGATTTTATAAACCACAGTAAATCCAAGGAAATAAGAACTAAATGCAAGTAGTTAAAACCAACATGTAAAGAGTGATTTAAACGAATGCACTGTAAGGGAACCAAAGCTTATTCATCCGCATAGGATCCTAAAGCTTAAAGCAAGGGAAGAAAAACTTAGCAGAGCATGATGTAAAATAATGTAAAGGATTTAAATTTCAGGTGAAACAGAGTAGCACTTTATGCAAGGGAACTAAACTATTATGGAGGAGTTTGATGGCCTTGAAGGACATTGCCAAAATCTTAACACAAGGGAACTAAATTGTCATAGGAGTTCATTTTAAATCAATACATGGGAACTAAAATATAGTGTGAGAGATTGTTAAAGCTTGAGGGGAAGGACCTGTAAAACATAACACGGGGGAATCAAAAAGTCATTCCAGAGATCGTAAAACCTGATGCCAAGGAACTAAAATTAAATGCAAGAGAACATAAAACTTGATGCAGGAGATAGTGAAACATGTGGGGGAACCAAACCAAACGTACAGTAACAAAACAGTGATTACAGTTAAAAGTGACACAAGGGAACTAAAGTGAAGTGTAAGAGTCCATTACATTTGATGCAGGGCAATCAACAGTACACCAGATACTGGAACTTGATGCAAAGGAACAAAACTTGTTGGAGACATTTAAAACAATGTGACATATGTATAAGACTGGTGCTAGGGAACTGTAAGTGAATACAAGAAGGCTTTTAGTTGGACAACTGACATTATGGCACTCTATGCCAGGGGGACTAAATCTTTTGTTAAGGAATGAGAACCTGGTGCCAGAAACCAAAACTATATGCAAGGAAACAGAAACTTAATGCAAGATATCTTACAACTTAAAGCAGAGGAACTCAAACTTAATGTGGGGGAACTACAACAAAAGATGCAAGTTCGTAAAACTCAATTGTGTGGGCTTACACGGCGACTAAATGGGGAGGTTACATGAACATGATTCCTGAAAAATAAACTAAATTATATGAGGGAACTTAAAAAAATGATAAAATTACAGTTTTTAAATCCACAAATTATTATTTTCCACAGCATTAAATAAATTTAGAAAGGAAATGTCTACTACCGAGACAGTATCTTTACCTACTAAGTACTTATCTTCTGGTACTGAATGTGAGCCACTGAAGAAAGAGAGTGGACAGAGACAACATACTGGTTGTTGTGAGTATTGTGGCTGCATCAAAGACGACGTAGAAAAAGAGAGTATACCATAAACACTTTTAATAACTTTTATTTTTTTCTCCTAATAGATCTGTACAATCAACAAATCAAACTTAAGATGAGCCTAGCAAAAACTGATCTGTACATGTTAAATGCTTCTGGGCACAAGAACTTCACACCCATTTAAATAATCCAATGATCGAGTTGTCGTCTAACTATGCAAACACTTAAAAACCAGCTGCACAGCGTGAGCTGAACAGTGAGTGACTGACAGAGGAAGAGGAGGAGGAGGAGGAAGAGGATGATCCAGAACAAACCAAACAGAAACAAAAAATAATCATGTTCCCTTTATATCTCTTTCTCTTCAGTGTTATAGAAAAGTACAGTCAAATATCTTATTTACAGAGAAATGGACAGAGCTCGAGCTTGATCGCTTGAGTGTGGGGAAGGATTGTGGGCTGTAGTTTTGGAGAGGGGGCAAAGGTGGGAGATATGATAGTTGGGCATATTTAATCTGGATTAAAAAAGAAGGAATAGACAGAACCATGTGAACACAAGCCATTGACAGAAAATATGGCTGCTGCTCCGATTCCAGCACCAACATGTGGACAACTTTCTGTGAATAAATCATTGTCAAAATGTTTAATTTCCTATACATTTGATTTTTATCATCCTTAATAATACCCTTTACCTCCATCAGCTGCCTGAAGCGTGTTAATTCACCGCCACATTAACCATCCTGAGATACATCATTATGAAGTTATCAACAAGCTTTCCCACTGTTTGTCCGATGTGACACTATATTTACCCCCCACGAAGTCCTTCATTCAGTCTTCATAAAGTTGCCTTATTGCTAATGAACACGGATTTGATTTTCATTGAAAACACACTCATAAAAAATAAAAGAGAAAAATAACAAACGGGATCCATGTTTTTTAGAATTACAGCCCCCCTTCTGGTTCAGATGATCGAATGCACATAAAAGGAAGATCTGACTTCTTCATGACACTCCATAAGAAACATGTTCATCATTATTAAGCAGGGATCAGGAACATTTGGATGGAGATTAAACTAGAATACAATGCTAGCATGTTGTAGTTTGTAAAGGCTCTTCATGTGGTTTAAAACTGCAACCAGAACTGATTGATAGTTAAATAGTAAGAGACAAGTAGATACAATTGCTCTGCATTGAAAATGCAAATGAAAAGTCTTGGGTTTTGAGACGGCAGGTTACACGTTGGAAAAACAGACACAAACTATAAAAGGCATTATTTTTGCCTTTTCTGTTTTTTAGAAAGCATTTCTTGGTCCAGTCTCATAAGACTGGTTAAAGAGTAATGAAAATATCCGGCAGATTAATCAAATATGAAAGCAATAGTTTGTTACAGCCAAAAAGTCATTAAAAATAAACTAGTTTGAATCACTTTAAGGAGTGAAACAGGATTGTTCCTCATTTTCTGTGATAAAAAAAACTAATGCCTTAAATGTAATTGAAACAATCCTTGTCTGGTCAGACTGGGATTATCATTACATGAATGTCTCTTTACTTCAAGTACAAAAGTCAGAATTATGTCATACATTTCAGAACATGATTTTGTTGTGTTTTTTAAAATGTAGTTCATGTTTATCTTTTGCAAACAACCCTAAAGGTGTCCTGGCTTTTATATTTACCCTTGGATTCCTGTGCAAATGATGTATTTTGAAGTAATCCTAAATTTCTAGTGACAAAACTCATGAAATAATACAGAATTAAACATTGCTCTGTAGGCTATTTTATGGCAACTTTGACTGCCAGCTTTGTGAAATCTATGATCCCAGAGTGAGCCACTTGTAGCTGGAATAACATTGAAATTGCTTCGTATTAAAGGCCCCGAAACTGAATTATTTGACAGGTTTGGGGCTTCAGGTCCAAAATAAGTTAAAAACAATGCAAGAAATGATGAATGAAAGGCTAAATTTCCAAACCTCGTTTTAACACAGATGTAAACAGATGTAGAGAACTGAACTGGGCTGATCACCAGATTTACTTTCACACTGTATTCACACAATGGCCACTTTTTCCTTTGACAGTATATTTCTGAGTGGACGGGTAAAACTTGGTTGTACTGTGCTCAGTCTGTAAATTGTCTCATTTTCTGTCTTAGGTTTCCTGGCTGATAAGCAGCAAGTCAAACATTTGCTCACCCATTTACTGTCATCAAACAACTAACATTGACACTGAGAACTGAATTTACCATCTACCATCAGATGTGACAACAGACATAATACATGAGCATTTCTAGATCATGATATCCGCAAATTTAGCAAAACATTAAATAGAAACTGCACTCAACAATGTAGTGTTTGGATAACCCATATGCCCCTGAAAGCTTATTCATAGCAGTGAAAAGAAGCTTTCAACTACTTTCTCACATGGACTACATTTAGCTTACTGTTATCTGCATCAAATGTACACCTCAGTTTGACAGTGTTAACAAATGGGGCAGGAAAACGGTTTATATTGTGGTAGCATATGTGCACTCCCAAGCTAACAGTTATATTAGCTGAAAGTGGCTGCATGCTAACCTTAGCTACTGTTCGATGTTTTCAGTACTGTCTAAACATTTTTCTGTTTCAGGGAAATATTTGGGATTTTGGGAATTATTTATTCCCCCTCCGTTGCTGATTGATCTGTCACATTTGTATTTATCCAATTTACAACTTAGCACACAACAGTACATGATACCTGCCTATGAGCTTTCCACATTGAGTTGAGTTTAGGAAAAATGGCCACTGTGTGATGGTCAAGTAAATGATATTGAGTTTGAAATGTAAATAAAGAGGCATGTCTAGTGTTTTCCTTTTCATGTCAGTGTGAGCTTTTAGCGTTCCTCTTAATGCAAGTGTCAGTGAAATTTCATAAAACCAAATAGATCTGTAATTCAACCAACTGTACACCTCAATCACAAATTCATTAAACCAACAGGACACATTGGTGGTATCTTAGTGCAAACCTCTAGCAGCCATATTTCACTTCACATTCAGATGCCTGACCGCTTGTAACCGGTTGTTCTGGTCTTGAAAAAACTGATTAAAAAGCACCCTGACTGTTCAGGTGCCACTGAAAAGACAAAAATGTATAAACCTTTTTAAAGTTTGTCTTTTGACATTGAGATCAGAAGAAATGCAGTGCTTTATATAAGAATTCAACCCACTGAACGTTTCCCCTTGTTTTCATCTGCAAATGAAAACTGAATTCATTGGGGTTGTGTCCAAATGTAAACAAAAGACAATCATTTGAGAGGGTGATATTCCTTTTTTTTGAAGGTTACGACTGATTGAAAGGATGAAAACTTAAAGGGCTTTCAGTAAAATCTCTTAAGACCATGTTTATCTGATTGACTCCAGGTTGCATCCAGCAGAAGTCTACTTCTTTGAAATGCAGATGGTTAAAGGGTCAAGTTTGTTAACTGTCCTACCAGAGAAAACTGTTTGAGACAAATGAATTCCCCTTTAGGGGTAAATACAGTTTTTGTATACGTTTTTAACTTCCGTAAATTTGGAAATTTAAGAGTGGGGTGAAAGCTTATGTATGTCACTGCACCTTGAAGGGAAAAAATTCAGTACAAAGTGAATCTTTCAGGATTTTGGAGACATGAAACTCAAGGTTTTAGAGGATGTAAAACAAAATTTCTGAATAGCCTAGTTAGACAAAAACAGTAAATGTTATAATTGTACCATCATCCTCAAATCCCAAAAATGAAAAAAGTCCTCAGGTAAATATTGACTTGGTGAAATGTTAGTGTTCCAATGTGATAAGCTGCATTCTGTGTGGTCAGTTGTTCTTCCAGATTCCTCTGTGATGCATTGCAAAATGGGGGGAGAAAAAGTAGATCCTCAGTTAAAGATGGAGAGTCCAAAGAAGTCCACAACTCTTCAGGCCCCTCTTTAAGTCTCTACAGCAGTTCTGCCCCGCTTTTCATTATCCAAAAAACACTCAAAACGTGTTAACCTACAGAGCTGAGGTGTATGATGGAGGTGTTTGTCCTGATGATCCAGTCAGTAAGTGGAGGTTAACATAGGATGATCGGTAAGGAAAAAAATATTGGTTCAACCTTTATTTAGTTACAATATAGATTTTTTTAAAAAAAGAAAACATTTACAAGTACCTCTTCCTGCCTTTCTGTCTTTCTTACTGACATGATCAAGACGGAAGGCTCTTATTTTGAAGCAGTGTCGCGTTTTCCGAGGTTTTATGCCTGCAAACAATTTTTAATTTCTTTTCAATAGGAATTTGAAGGTGATGGGAGGGGGGGGAGGGGGCAACAAACCAAAAACCAAAACAAAAAATACAATCTTTTTAGATCCAGTGGTGGATGACCCAGGTCCTGATGATCATGAAGGATAAAGGTAAAGAGGAGGAAGGGGTGGAGGTCAGAGAGTGTGAGGAGTTCAAAATCCATCCACCCAAACACCAAGTCCCCGCTCTGCCAGCGTGCGGTTCACTGAAATCACCTGCAGGGAGAAGGTATGACAGATTAGTATCCTCAAACATTTCTCTTCAGGAGCAGGATCCAGCTGGGGTGTTGGTTTAGCCACTGCTTAATGACACTACTCTAAAAGTCCAACATGAGGTTTCTAAAGTCTGCAATGATTCGGGGGTGCCATGTTATCTGCTGGTGTTGGTCTGCTATGTTTGATGAAGTCCAGAGTCAACATAGCCTCAAGTCTATCAGGAGATTTTAGAGACCTTCATGCTTCCATCTACTGAGAAGCCTGATGGAGATACAGATTTCCTTTTTCAGCTGGACCTTGCACTTGCCTGCAGTACCAAAACTACCACAAACTGGTTTGCTGACCGTGGTATGAGCTTGACTGGTCAGCCAACTGGTCTGACCTGAACCCACAGAGAGAACACAGTTGAGCTGAAGGCTTCTAACCTGAGCTTCAAAAACACCCCAGCAGAGCAGACTGACTGCCTCACTGATGCAATAGTTTGAGTAAAAGGAATAAAATACTGAATGCTGAAATGAACATATTTCAGTAAGTCAAATTTTCTGTGTTATACATCAAAAGACTCTTGAAACACGTCTGTATCTATAGTTTAGAAAATGGAGGTTGTAAAGTTGTGGGTCTATAACAATTATTATCACATGACCAGCCCTACCTCATCTCCAACCATGTTCCACAAGTGCACTAGAGGGAGACCTGTGTTGTTGTCATAGTTTGAGACCTTCAGAGAGAGAGAAGAAATATTTCATCAGTGATAGTTCACTCTCACACTCTGAGGAAGATCTGTGAGGAGGCTTTTCTCACCTGTGCAAGCAGCGCCACTCCTCTGGTTATTTCTTCCAATGCTGACGTGGCCTCAGCAGAGAAACGGTCCTCTCCTGATTTAAGAAGTTTTGATTTAAAAAGTGTCACAAAAATGAAAATGGAGAACATGTACCGAGTTTGACTGCAACATGTTCTAATAAACTTGCACTTATGATTTACTGTGTTTTACCTGGAAGTGGAGCGATATTATCGAGCAAAACCTCCGCACCTTGGAACGGTAGTGTTACAAAATCAGACCTGCAAAATAAAAATGAAACTCACGTCACACCTCATGTCTACTTCTTCAAGACAAAGCTAAAACTTGGCTGCATTAGGAAAAACTTGCATTGTTGAAACTCCCCTCTAGATGGCGGTGTTTTAAACTTTTTACTCCAACAGCAGCAGCTGCTCTAAGCACAAAGTAAAATGCTCAAGTAAAAGTGAAATGAAAAACATTAAACTGTTACTTCAATTTCATTCAGATTACCATCACATAATAGATAGATTTAAATAACTTAAACAGAGGCTCTGCCGGGAACAAAAACACTTTTCTTTCATAATGTCTATGAATAAAGAAGGTTTATAATATGAATATTTATATATGAATATTTATATTTGAATATCTGAACTGGCTTCAAATATTTGAGAGATAGGGGAGTACATCTCTGGAGAAAAACAAATATTTACAATGATGCTTTTGGAGCACAACTTTATAAGACAACCTTTATAAGAATGCAAATAAAAACTCCCAAACCACCACTCCTAATTTATTTTGATGATTATTTTGTAATTTCATTTTCTAATTTCTGGTTAGAGGTTAAAGACGATGTTACATTTCCTCCTCAGTTTTTCCTCTTACAGCAGGAACACAGCATGTTTCTTGTCTTATAGGTGTGAGAGAAAGTAAAAGTTGAAGGAAATGGGTCAGCATTTTTAAGGTTAAGGCCTTAACTCTCTGCCAGGAAACAGTTGATTTCTCCCTCCAGGTGGGATGAGAGACTTTGCCTCAAGAGAGGAAGTTCAAGTATCACTGGTTCTTTTTCACAGTGAGTGTTGTTATCACCTGGCACAGGGCTCAGGACACAACACAGGGTAAAACAGATCATGAGGATTAACAAATAGTTGGTGTGGCATTAGCAGTAATATCGGTGCTGTAGGGGACCATTGTTGTAAACAGGGATCTGAGCCTGAAGACCAAGCTTTTAATTTATCATTCCATCCACATTACACCTTCATCTGTAGCCATAAGCTTTGGATAGTGACCAAATGAACAAGACTGTGAATACATGTAGTATAATATACCACATATTGCATAATACATCTTCAATATAATCACATCTTCCGTCTTCCACAAAGACCTGACCTGAGATAAGTGGGACAAACTAGATGGATGGATGGATGGGTAATTGAGAGAGCTGTATATTTTGTTCTGGTGATCAATGATTCCCCAAAAAAACTTCCAGGACCAGAAACTCTCACCTGATCTGACGTAGTGAGTCAATCTTTACTCTGTCGTAGCCGCCATAATCAACATATCTGATCTCCACCTCGTTTGTTTCTTTGTAGAAGGTGATCACCTGAGCTCTCCACCAAGCTCCTTCCACCGCTGGAGCTGCACAGATAACACCAACTGCAAACACACAGAAGAATATTTTCATTAGTTCTTTTTATTTTGAGCATCGCTACAGTGTTTCACTGGTCACTATAAAAACTTGTTTGGGTCAAACTTTGTGTATTTATATTTTCTTTTGACGCATTTTTTTTAGAATTCTGATTCTAGACGAGCTCAATGACACTCCCTTTGGTGTGCACTTCATGATGACAATGAACTTCTCTGTCAGCACATGTTTGGAGTTTTCGATTGCATTTAAAACAAAAACTGGAGCTCAAAGTCTTTTTGTCTCCTCTGGGCTGGTACGCAGCTGGTGACTTTTAAAAGGTCACTGAAGACGCAGATGCAGCGGCCCCTGTATTCAGGATGAGGACATTTATCAGTGTGTGTGTGTGTGTGTGTGTGTCTTTACCTTCTGCAGGTGAGGGCAAGGCCGGCGTGCCTGGTTGTGAGTAGCAGAGGAACATCTGCTGGTCAAGACTCCTCAGGGCATGGTAGGTAGGGTGTGTGTGCTGCTGCACAAAGACATGACCAGCCGACACGATGTTCACCACAATCACCTCGACTGTCACTCCGCTGGGGAGCAGGAGCTGGAGAGATAAATTAGACTCTAACTTTTCCCAGTGTCTGTTATGATTCAGCAAAATCAACACAATAACAGACCGCAGAAAATGATTAGGCGGAGAAAATGAAAAAGGTACGCTTTGTGATTTTTAGCTTTAGACTTCTGACTTAATTTGCAGTGTTGAAAAAATGGCAGTACTCTGAGTGTAAAAGAGGGATACCTTAAAAATAAAAGTTAATAAAATCTGTTACATGCCAGAGGTATAGCTGCAGGAAGTGAAAAAAAAAAAAAAAAAAAAAAAGGACAGAGGGATTAAAAAGTTTGCAATACTCTTGCCTAAGTTAACTGCAGTACAGTTCTGCCAAGTAATGCAAAGGATGAGTAAATTTTACAGGTCTGCTTGTCATACGACAGGTAAACATTTGTACCAAAATTCAACATTGCCATGCTGACTTGCTGCCACATTTTGGTTCAGCTGCAGCTTCATTCTCCTGCTACAATGCTCTCTACATGTCAGAGCTTTGTGGGGTCAGGCTGACACACACGTAAAAAACACATACTGGAATGCCATGCTCCACTGTTCACAACAATGGACCTCAGCTGCTCCACTGAAACGAGGTTTTCAGGATTAAGACTTTATGAAAGCCCATTGTATTTTTGTTTTCTGAACCCACATGACATGCATTTTTTCCCTGACCTAATCATCGCTAAATTGATGAGTGCACTCTCTACTTGCACTGCTCTTCTGCTCCTCGGGGTCACACACATACACGCCAGTTTTTTAGTTCACCGCATGAAACGAATCAAAGGTAGAAAGAATAAAAAAAGAGCGCCCACAGAGATGTTCCTTACCCAGGATGTCATGGGAAGAGATGGTAATGTCAGGGGGGGCGGTGGAGGTGCATAAAGGTTTGTCAGGTCCAGATCTTTAAACTTCTTTCCTATCAGTGACAGAGCTTTGTCGACCTGCTGCTGTGTACCTGTACAGAAGGCAAACAGAAGTCAATCATACTTACATAAAACGTGGATTCATGGGTGCAAAATAGAAACAAAAGAGACAAGTGGATCTGTTTTTTTGTCACTCACCCTCTATGTGACAGATCTGAAACTCCTGTGTGTAAGGCAGAGTGGAGATGTAGATCTTCGCACCAGAGTTCTGCTTCAAAAAACTCACGTATCTCCCTTGTTTTCCTATTAACCGCCCGACTAGATGCTGGGACAGAAATTCAAAACACGTCATTGTGATTGATCGTTTCAACAAAATCTGTAACAAACAGACCCAGAAAGCTATGGAGTCAATATGAACCATTGCAGCGTGTCATCCCCTACTTTCTCCACTGCTGAAGATGCAGCTCTGCTTTACATTTTTAAAGGCTAACATTCAGACTGAACTTTTGTTAGAAAACCCCGTCTTCACATGTTCAGGACAAAATCAGCAAAGAGGCGAAATGTATACATGCCTAATTCCTCAACAATGCTTTAAGACCCACCCCAATCATGGTTTTCTTGTTGTCTCCATGTACAAATGGCATTTATACATGCTTGAGGACATTTCATAAGTATTTCTTTCTTCATTCAAATTGCTGTGAACTTGTGGCAGACCCAAACGGCAAGTTCTGGTACAGTGGGGTTTTCTACCTCACAAACCTATAATCTGCTCCCGGCGCCCCGCTCTGCAGGTCAGACCCCGAGAAGTAGAGAGGATGATGGAGATTACAATGCTCGTAAGAAAGCTAATGCTAATACTAGCTTTTATCATGCCCTCAAAGACACGAGTGTCCGAGAGCTGAATTGCTGCTATGTTACTAGCAACTTTTGCTGCACCGGCAATGTTAGGCTACAAGCTAGTGTGAAGAGGAGTGTGCAGAGCAGCGCTGTCTCTGCCCACGACTCAGAGGTGAATTGTTTATGAGCTACTGGAGCTCTACAGAAGAAAAGTTCTTGAAAATGTCACAGGTAATGTGATTTTGGCTAAAAACTAAAGACCACTTAGCACACTTTAAATAGAAATAAAACAAATGATCAGAGTGAGACTTAAAGAGAAGAAAAATGTGAGGAAAGAAAAAAGAGCATATGTTAAGTTCAGGCAAACCAGATTTTTAATCTAAACTCAGTCAAGGTAAAACTCTTTTGTCCTTCGATCTTGGACTCTGATCTGCTGGTCTACAACCGTCCTATGAATTATTAACTGGATAACTCTGTGACCATTAGAGAGGGAAAAACTCCCAATGAGATGATCACATGTGTAGGTGGGTGGACTGATAACTCATGACTGCACAAATAAAGTGAGTATTTCACACTCACCTTTGGCACCTCAATTTCCCAGATTATGAGCTCTGAGCTGGAGGAGGCAGCATGGTTACTCTGACTGTCACTGACTCCCATCGTACACCCACTGTCCACCGAGTCCATACTGTTCACATCAGAACCTGAGGAGACAGAAGATAAACACCTTTACCTGGAAAAAAGTACTGTGGCATTGACATTTACTCTGACACTTACACCTGAGATTTTTACTGCGACTAATATCCTAACCCTGCACAGTTACTCCAGCACTTACATTTACTGAAACATCACCTTAATACGGAACTTTTATCGCAACTAATTATCAAGATTTGTTGCAAAATCGACCAAAGCTGCAATATTAACCTAAAAATACAACTACTACCTGAAAAAAATAAATTCAACAGCACCGAAACTGGCAAAATGTAAAATAATATGCCAAATTTACCTGCAATTTTTACATCCACTGATAATTTCACCTGTAACCATTACCACACTTGAAATACATAATGCAACACTACATGTACAAATGCCTTTAACTGCAAAATTTACTGATACATACGCCTGCAAGTTACTGCAACTAAATCTCCTTAACCTCCAAAACATGAATAATCTTTTTTTCTGCAACACGTCACCTTTACCTACAAGACTGACTGCAATGTATCACCAACACATGCATGATTAATCGCTATGTTACTCTGACTTGCAACTTTACAAGAAAACCACCTTGAGTTTGAAGATATCTCCTTTGACAGTAAGATATTATTTCTCCTGCAAAATTACGTCAAAATATCCATGTAACAGCAAAATGTAAAGCAACACTCCCAAAACTTACGGCAACATCGGTCAAATGGGATATATTTATTATTATACTGTTCATATTCTGTATGATTTTGGCCGTGCATAACAGGTTTTTCATGACAAGACACAATTCATGTCATGATACCAGCTCAACAGATCCCAAAGCTCACTGATGGGACTGTGGCTCTTGTGTCCTTAATTATTTCTAAGGTGCTCATCACAGAAGTGCAGCAGATCTCTGCACGTTTTTTTCTAGTTCTGAATGTCCCAGTGCCACACCTGTTTACGGGCAACTGGCACTTGAGCTTTTTTCTTCTTTTAGTATTTACTGGCTGTTGGCAAACAGTTTACAGGTTACCCACAACCACCATAAACACATGCTATATGTAAATTAAATATGGATTTGCACCTGTGAAAGGAATAGAATTTGGAAAATAAAGAACAAGTCTTATCAGTGGAACACTATACATGCCTTATATTTTATCTGTCACTACTCTGTTTCCTTGGACTTGTACCCGTGGCTCTGTCCTGTAAATTATTACCTGGTAGACTGTGTGATGGGGCTGATCTACAGGTGTGGAAAGAGGTTGCAGCTGCTCTCCCTCCTCTCAAAAATACCTCACAGATAATTATATCAGAAGTTTGGGCAAAAAAAAAACTAATTTACATGACCAAGTAGAGTCTGCAAGAGAAGAAAGCCTTAACCTAAATATTCTGCTATGTTTACATCTGTTTATAAACTGTCTGCAGCGAAAAACCCTCTCTAAAATTATCCAGTCTGTAAACAAAGGATTATGTACGCCCATCATACAAAAGCATCTAGGCTTAAAAAGCACTCAAACTTAAACAAAAAGTCCCATTAGTCTGCAAAGCAGTTGACTTCTATTTGCACAGCTCAGCACGTTACAGCACGCACTCACATTTTTAGATTTAAACTTGGAGACAATAACAGATGATCATTAAGGCAGCCCTAAATATCAAGGATAGCAACAGCAATCAACAAGCAGCTTTGCAGGCTGCAAAACTATATTTATAACACGTTTGAGTCAGTGACAGAATCAGAATCCACCATGATGGGCTTCCACTGAAAAGACACATGATGACTAACAAAGACCTGCAGTGTCAACAAGAGTCATTCAACAACTCCCTGTCAAAGCTGAAACAACGACCTCTACAATTATAAAAAAAAAAACGTTTTAGCTAGCTCAGTTTGTGTTAAATGCTGTCATGCTGCAAGGCTGGATGTTTGATGTGTGAAACCTAGCGTTTGTGCTTATGCATTTGATGTGACTGAACTTTACTAACTGCTGTTGCTTTTTCTGCCTGATTTGTCTCTTTAAGTTCTGGGCGCCTCTTTCTGAAAGATGTGTCAAAGTAAAAGCTACTGTTTAAGGCTTTCAAGTAATGCATGAGTTTTGGCTCCTTCATATTCCACTCCCCCCAATATATACAGACTATAACTGGCAACACTTCTTCTCTCACAAATGTGACTATTGACAGGTTGCGGTCTCACCTCCAGACTGATCCGTCTCCACCTCACACGTGCCGTGTGCGCCGTTCCTTAGTCCCATCCCATTTAGCCTCTTTATCTCTCCCGTAGCATCCACAGATATCTCCTCTCCTTCCGCCACAGCCGTCTCCTCTGTAGCTGACTCCACCTGCGATGGAGTTTGTGTGCCCTCTATCACCGACAGGTCTGTCACCTGCAGGACGTCTGTGTGGTTGTCAAACATGCTGTTGAGCAGGTCCTCGCTGCTGACACCGTCCTCAGAGTGACATGTGCTGCAGGCCGAGTCCTCAGCAAGCACCGCCGCCTCATCTCCTCTCAGCTTCTTATTGAGCACAGAGGAGCTCTGAGCCGGCTGGTGCCAGTGTCCTCTCTGTGCACTGTGTGTCTGATGAACTCTGACCTCTACAGGCTCCCATACTGCATCCAAGGAGCAGCCATTAGACATCCCTTGTTCCTCTTTCTCACTCTGAGAGGGACTGGTCAGCAGGAGGAGCTGCTCGGCTGTGATTGGCTCCTGCTGAGAGCAAAGTCTGCCGCCGCGCTCTGTTCCCTGGCTGCTGGTGACACCGAGGACCTCCTGAGTGGCTGCCGAGATGACCTCAGTTATGAGTCCAGCTGCCAGAAGCTCCAGATCCGGCTCCTCTGTGTGGACCTGGACATCCGCACTGGTTTTTGATGAGAGGGCGGAGGAGTCCTGGACGGCCGTGAGAGCTGTGGAGGACAGGGATGTGGAGGGGAAGGTGGGCGTGCTGGTCAGGACATGAGCGTGGAAATCCTGTGCTGAAGGCGGAGTCTCCACAGAGTCTACCTCTGAGGGGGTCGCTTGCTGGACTTTGGCGGGGGTGACAGTGCAGACCAGCACCTCCTCCTGCGTGCTTACAGTGCTGTGGTGCTTCGCGACCTCCCCTTCGGGCTCTGGCCTCTCTGCATCAGACAGGGGTGAGGAGCTTGATACTTTGGTAGACTGGCAGGTTAGAACCACCTCCTTTGCCGCTGCTGCTGGAGCTGAGGCCAGATCTTTGACCCTGTGCTTCTCGTGCTCCGTTAGCGAGCTTCTCTCCAGGTCTTTCTGTTCCTTTGGTAACACCTGGAGGTCATCCTCGTTCCTGGGAGACTTCTGCGAGGAAAGGTGGGGTATTCTTTCCAGGTGATGAGCAGCTTCTTCCGATCTTTGTGCAGCTTCACTGGAAACATGCTGTGTTCTCTGTTTCCCGCTCTGTGTAGGTCTGAGGGAGCTTTCTGTGTCGCTTGTGGGGCTGTCTGTGACTTTCTCCACCAATCCGTTGCTGCCCTCCGATGGAGATGTTCTGAGGCCGATCGCAGTGGGAGCTCCGTCCGGACTGTCATGGCAGACCAGCCGGTCTTTCTTACGCGAGGTGTACCACCACCAGCCAATTAATGCGAGGACTCCAGGTAACGTGTAGGGAACAACAGAGCGAAACCTCAGCGGCATTTCCTCAGGGCACTAACAGCTATACCTGGAAGGTAAAATCACAAAGACAAAAAAAACAGAATTATTTAAGAGACATTTGTGTTGGAACAAGTTAAAGCCAATCTGGGAACAAAAAGGATCTGAGTCCGCAGGTTTATTCAAGAATTACTTTTACACTTTAATTCTGCTATTGTATCTCAACTTAAAGTAATGACTTTTGCTTTTATTTTCAATTGGTCGAAAAAAAGTATTTTTTCTCAAGACACTCGACAGACTTAATCACTGACCCTCTCTTTTCACTGTTAATGTTTTATTTATGCCCCCTTCCCTGTATTATTTTATTTCTAGAGGGTAAGGAAATTCTGAACTTCAGTTATTCCAAATCAGTTATCATCCCTCTCTCTATCCTCTCTCTCTGCAACAGAATCTCTCCATCTCTCTCTCTGCTGTACTGAAGCAAACAAAAACCCTCTTAAGATAGTATGGTTTATTTAAAACTCTCTTTTTGATGCAGTAAACAGGATCGGAAAAGAGATTGAGCTTTCTATAACGGCCACCTAATCCCCCAAAAATTAATATAACAGTGAAAGGGCTGGTTTTTGATTCTGCATCTGGCCCAAGGATGAACCCTTTGGGGCAGAAAAAACAGCCTGCCAGTGCAGACACAGGATTTATCTTTTTTGCTTATTTTGTCCGTTTTAATGGGTTCATGCAGATATTTTTTCAAAACAACATTAAGGGTGCTCTTTGTAGTGAGCATGTTTCAGATCAAAACTGACATTAAATAACATGTCATTAACACACATGAAAGTACTATATGAAGAATGCTAACACCAATAAGTATCAGTCAAATTAAGTACTGGTAAAACACCCTGAACTTTAAGTGCATGTCCCTGCTCATTCTGTTTGTATAAAAGATGTAGATTTGGTTTTTTTTATATTTTTGATGTAAAAAGAAGAATAAAGGCTCTTGCTATTGTAGTTTTAATTTGGCTCCATTTGAACATGATCATGTTAAGAACTCTATTAGGCCTTTTTTTCTGCCACCCCTGCATTGCTATACCATATTTTCTGCACACAATTTAAATAAACATCACAAATAAACATACAACATGGTGACATAACAGAGTGACTTCTTCAACTTTTGCCACAAGCAGAATGAATCATCTGGCCCCTGAAGTTTTCAGTTTGGATTTATATGAAAAGAAGAAGAAGAAGAACAGAGGTAATGATTACAATATGCATACACACGCATATACGCAGGAGGCAGGTACGTTTTATGTAATTGTGTAAACAAAACATAGAAATAACTAGTTGGAAAGACATTTACGCTTCTAAACTAATACGAAAACAGCAACACTAACAGGACAGAGGAACGAGATTTTTCCACTTAATGAGGGGTCAGCACCAACTGCACAGAGGAGCAGCCCTCTACTGCAGACCTAATATCAGTGAGGTGACTCCCCCTGCGTCTGTCTGTGTGTTAAAAAAAGGCCATGTGCACATGCCATTCCTTAGCAGTCCTGCACAGGAACACATCACATGGCCTGGACGTGACTCAATCACAATCTGCTATGCTGTCTGTGCCTGCTGTGGCTCACTCTGCCAGCTGCTCCAAGCGCCATATACGTATGTACATCTGTGTGTGTGTGTGTGCACGTGCGTGCAAGAGAGAGAGAGAGAGGAACTACCAGTTAATGTGGACTTTTGACCTCTTTGGCGTTTGACACTCCCCCCTGCTCTACGCACCCAACTGTCGCTGTGCAGGACAGCAGCACAGGCCTTGGATAACTTTCAACATTAAGAAACAACCCCAGACTGAAAAATCCTAAAACTGCTTTTTATCTGTGTCCAACAGGGGGTCATGGTCCTATTGGTTTATAGGATGTAGTCCTTCATTGATTTATTTACTCAGTCTCTGTTTTAAAATCCTTCACGTGCTTTTTTTTTTTTTTAATCAAGTCCAAAAAAAGACTGAACTACTGGTACTATCTGGGTGGAGGGATCTGACCGCATCTGACCTCAACTCCAGAGTGTGAAAGCTCATCAGTGCATGCTGGGATCTGATCGCCCAGTCCACATGCAGAGGTGGTTCAGGAGGTGTCTGTCCACATTTGTCTGGTTGTGTGTATGCTTATGTGAGCTGGACCACATTAAGAACTGTATATACAACAATGATCACTTAAGGGCCTGGTTTATACCAACAACTGGCTTAAAACCACATATTAAAGAAGGCCTGAACAGCCCCTTAGAGCCAAGTAAAAAAGAACATGGGGGGCCATTTAGACAGGGAACAGCTGAAGTTGACAAGTTTGCAACAGGTCAACACTACAGCAACTTTTAGGAGTGAATGCATCCTTCAAACCAAGCTCACATCTGCACTTAATTTCGCAGTTTCTGACTGCCTCCCTCCTATGTAGCATCATCCTTGGTTATCTATTAGTCAAAACTCCATATCAACAGCCATGCTATTTTTGATGGTACACAGTTGGAATAATCACAGGTTTAGTCCAGAAAACTGAAGATGGAACATACAGTAAACCATAAGAGATCATTTTAGTTGGTAAAGCAGTTTTGAAGGACTGACAAATGAAAACGTCAGACAGACTCTAAAGTACCCGGATTCACAAATAAATTTTACACTACTTTTAAAGTTGTTCTCTATAACATGAGACAATGCCACTTATGCTGAATGAAGTATTTCACTGAAAATTTTTGAACACTGGCTGTTTGAGCAGATGGTTCAGCAAAGTCAAACTACATTTAGAAAAGATTTCACTGATTTTATGGAAAACCACCTTCTCGTTTCGACATGAGGAACATGTTTGTCTCCTTCACGCTTCATTTTTCTTAGCAGCAAAAGGAGGACCTTCCTCCAAAAGAAAAATTACATGAAAATATGACAGTGTTTAGGAGTAGACTCTCTGACCAGTTCTCTTTACTTTAAGCAATCAAAAAATGTTAAGACCATCCTATAGCTGCTCTGTATTTAATGACCAGCAGGGTGCAAACTCCTGAATGTAGAAAGGCTACACTTCTTAAATAATTTAGGCCATGAAGACTAATTCAGAGGTGAGAAAGACGACACCGTCCACACTTCTGGTTAAAATGGAAAATCAAGAGGATAAAGCCTTCAGATTATTTCAATTGATCCGAATTCAAGCCTTTTTTTTTTTTAAACTTCGCCAAGATTATTCCAAACACATTATTTTCTATTTATTACCTTAGAAAGATTATAGTGTTGAGTTACTGCAGATCTGATGTAACTGGATGCTATACAGTCTAGTCTGTTTGAGGGAACAACCAGTGTGTCATGAGCTTAATAAAGACGATAAGAAAAATTAAATAGACTCAGATCATTTCTTCAGATTCATTCACTTTGAAGCCAAACTGTCAACCAAATGTCTGGTGACAGATTTCTTTATGGGAGGATTTCTTTGTCATACCTGACAAGTCTTTTAGTTTCACATTGGTGAAAAAAAGAACTTCTGAGGATGCCACTTTGTGTACTACTTTATCATTTTTTGCATTCATTTCATCAGTTTCATCAATACAATATAATTGTAAGAAGGTTAAAAAAATTCAGTAATTGAGGCTACAGCCCCAAAATCTTGTTCATAAACTGATGTATGTTGCAAAATCCCTTGAAAAGAAAAGAAACAACCAAATTGCTTGAGATTAAACTTGATGTCAAAGAAACATAATGAGTGAGTACTTTCGGACCTGTTTTTGGTCCATACTCTGTTTCTGTATGCAAATTTTATGAAACCACAAAGAGTGAGAGAGAAATTATTCAAAATAGAAGACTTTCCTGAAACAAATGAATGAGCTCTGCCTCACTAACAGTGAAGGACACAATCACAGTAAGAAGGCCAGTCAGGAAAACTCTCCGTCAGCTGATCAAAAGCCTGAGACAACCACAAATCTTCAGTCATTGTTATGGATCTAAGGGCGGGTTAATCAAACAAGGTTTTGTAGCTGTCAATCTCACAACAGGCTCACTTCACTAGAGAAAGCAGGGTATGTACTGTAAAGGCATTATAATGATATGACAGGCACTTAGCTACTGTATATTTTTTTCATAATTTATGATGTACCACTTAGTAGTGGTAAATGAGGGCTCCCCACAATCATAAAAATCTAGTAATCAAGACTATTGAGCACTAGTTTTCAATTAATCTTATTTACAAGGATGTATTTTTCCCACACCAAAATCAAGGAATATATCTGGAATTATTTTGGTGTGGTGTGAAACAACAATAAGCAGCACTTGGTGGAACTGATGCAAACACTGTTCTTTGAGCCACAATTTGGGTCTATTGAACACTATAGCCAAGCTCTTCTTTTGGACCATAAGCTCTCTTATGTTTTAATTAAAATGAACCCAGAAATCCTCACTAAGATAATGTTGATTTTCTGCTTTCTGATCTACAAAAAAACGTGTCCTTAGATGTCAGAACATCTTCAAAAATTAGCCATTTGTTTCAGCGGGCCCATGTGTACATCCACACACTTTTTAAATAAACTGCGATGATGACACAAAAAAATCCTAAGACTAAAAGTCTGCAATATAAATTAGTATCTGTTGCGAATTTTTCAACTTTATGCCACCTAGCATTAAAATACCTCTCAAAGAGGAAACCTCAATGTCAACTGTTTTACTGTAATGGCACATTAATAAGGAAATAGGTAATTTATTATGAAAAGAAATAAATATTAAAATTATATTCATCCTCACTGAAAACTTAAATATGAAAGACTCTTGAAACATCTTGATCAATAAAAGAGAAAAAGGCTCTGTCCCAGAGGATAAAATCATATAGACGAAATCAAGGTTACATGCATTTAATACTGGTGATGTTCATTTATTATAGGTTTGAGAAGAACAAAATAATGAAGAAACCTCAAGAAACCTAACTGGATGACCTTAAACACTGAATTATCACCAGAAACACATTTCTCAAAAAGCTGTGCAGAGTTAAGCACCTCTCCTTTCTTTGACTTGGTGATAAAATGGTCTT